CTAAACAGGAGTGACCTGTGTGAAGAGGGCTTTAATGCTCTTGAGTGTAAATGTTTGTAAGGGAAAACACAAGAAATAAAACATATTTAGTTGATTTTAATCAATAAACAAACTTTTAATTCACAATCTCTCTTGTAAATTATGGTATAACCCAATTTCCCTTACCCTATCACCCTATTCACTCTGTCTGTCTATCACCCTACTGGCCATCATCTCTGTCTGACTATCACCCTACTGGCCATCATCTCTGTCTGTCTACTGGCCATTATCTGTGTCTATCACCCTATTGGCCATTATCTCTGTTCGTCAATCACCCTACTGGCCATTATCTGTGTCTATTACCCTATTTGCCATTAATGTGTCTATCACCCTACTGGCCATCATCTCTGTCTATCTATCACCCTACTGGCCATTATCTGTGTCTATCACCCTATTGGTCATTCACTTTGACTGTCTATCACCCTATTGGCCATTATCTCTATTTGTCTATCACCCTACTGGCCATCATCTCTGTCTGTCTACTGGCCATCATCTGTGTCTATTACCCTATTGGCCATTATCGCTGTCTGTCTATCACCCATCACTCTACTGACCATCATCTCTGTCTGTCTATCACCCTATTGGCCATTATCTGTGTCTATCACCCTATTGGCCATTATCTCTGTCTGTCTATCACCCTATTGGCCATTATCTGTGTCTATCACCCTATTGGCCATTATCTCTGTCTGTCTATCACCCTACTGATCATCATCTCTGTCTGTCTATCACCCTACTGGCCATCAACTCTTTCTATCTATCACCCTACTGGCCATTATCTGCGTCTATCACCCTACTGGCCATCATCTCTGTCTGTCTATCAACTTACTGGCCATCATCTCTGTCTGTCTATCACCCTATTGGCCATTAATGCTGTCTGTCTATCACCTATTGTCCATTAATGCTGTCTGTCTATCACCCTGTTGTCCATTAATGTTGTCTGTCTATCACCCTATTGGCCATAAACATAGTCTGTCTATCACCCTTTTGGCCATTAACATAGTCTGTCTATCACCCTATTGCCCATTAATGTTGTCTGCCTATCACCCTATTGGCCATTAACACTGTTTACCTATTATCCTATTGGCCATTATCTTTTTCTGTCTATCACCCTATTGGCCATTAACTCTGTCTCTTCCCAACTGGCATAGCATTGTGGGTGTCATATGGCAGATGGGAATCTACCTTTTGGCCACTCTTGCACTAAAGGGGGACCAAACTAATTTCTTGCACCAGGGCCCTCTCTGCATTCATTCTACCACGGAACCAAATGCTTTATAAACTCCTTCTCTATCTCCTCTAATAACCACATCCTCAATAACCCATGCATTATAACCCCACCAGTATAGCCCCGCCTCTATCTTGTCAATCTCTCCTGTGTATTCTTATTACTGCACTGTCTGGGAGACCTCCTGTTGTGTGTCCTCATCACTGCACTGTCTGCGAGACCTCGTGTTGTGTGTCCTCATCACTGCACTGTCTGCCAGACCTCCTGTTGTCTGTCTTATCACCGGACTGTCTACGAAACCTCCTGTTGTCTGTCTTATCACTGCATTGTCTGCGAGACCTCCTGTTGTCTGTCTTATCACTGCACTGTCTCCAAGACCTTCCAGTGAATGTGCATGCCCTTCGCTGTCACCCACCTCAGTACATACAGCTGTGGTCACCTTGTCACAGACGCAGGTAACGGATGTTACTAAAGACATTTTCTTCTAATGCTTTTGTCTTTTTTCGATGGGATCTTCCTCTGCTCCTTCTGGTACAAGTGACCACGCATTGTACCCCTGTACTGCAAGGACAGAATGGCTAGGTTAGTGCACACAGCCAGCATTAACAATGAAACTTATGACAATCTGCACTGATTATCATGCTGGACTATTATTGGAATCACATTGTAGGGCCACCAATATGTGAAAGTTGGTAATCCTCAACAAGAAATGGTAATTTCATGATTCAAGCAACACTTTAACTGTTATAGAGAAATAATAATTTAAAGAAAGTTAAATATATGTAAATGTTATGGAACCTGTCTATTTTTACCTACATAGTTCCAGAAAGCAGTGTTTTATTGCACAGAGTGCATTTTCTAGGGGAGTGAGTATTCCTTGTGCCTGTAAGAGACAGGTGTCTATTGCCCTCACACATGATGGGAGGATGTTACATAATATCACATCCTGTCCCCTTCCGTGATGAGCTGTTATGAGCCTGCGCTGAGCTCAAAGAAAAAAAATCTTTCATTCATCATTTACTTTCCTATTATATGTTTTGTGCTCTGTACCCAAAAAGGAGGGAGAATATTTAGAGCGTGCTCCTCTTGTATCAAGTTTACACCTAACCATGAGCCAGTTCCATCAATGGGCGCCCCTAATGTGCTTTCTGGTACAGGATTGATAGTCAACCCTAGCCATGCTATGTACAGCAGCTGCATTTTGCTCTATATTTAGGGCAAATATTCCTGTGAAAGCTCATTTTATGTAAGATGTTTTATTGCTGCCCACTCTAGGTGCCACCTGGAACCACTGGGCTTACTGATTCCCCGGGTAACCCTAATCTTACTGTACTGGGAACATTACTGGACCCTGAGTCATTAGAGCCCTGAGTATTGCACTGTCATTACTTCCTCAACTTCATGAGAAGGTCCATTTTCCACGTCACTCTCCCCTTACAGTTCTGCTAATGTCCCACCCTGTCGTTGGCTCTTCTGCCCCATGATGCCCTTCATATTGAGCTTCAGAATAACTTGGCCCTAAATAAATGCCGATAATAATTAGAGTCAACATTTTAAAAACAAATCTGCTCCGCTCATAACCCAACCTGAAAATGGATCATTTATACTTTAAGAAGACAATGCAGCACAGTGATCCATCCGCTTTGGAGAAGCCCACTACACCCCATCATTCAGAGAGCACTCTCATACTGCCACAGTCTCAGCAATTCAAGGTTTAAGATAATTTTATCTGGATCTTAGACTTTCTGTCCAGAATTATTATGAATGTATTGATTCCTTTTTTACATTTTTTTGTAAAGGTCCGCTTTCATCATGTGCTAGCTGAAATGACTACAAAATGTTTCGAATCATTTCAATTTTTATGTAATTTTCAGATGTTTCAAAGCTTTGAGCACAGCTGCTTTTCCTCAAATTATTTTTTATTAATTTTTGTCTTAGACCGTTCTAAGCTTTGACTGGAATTTGGAAATGTTTTTATTTATTTAAAATAAAATAAAAAATAATATTATTTGTTTAAATTCTCCCCTGTTTTACATGTTAGAATGGTTTGTCATGTTGAATAAATGAAACTGCCAGTCTTTTTTTTATATAAGTCTTATATTTTTGTGGTTTAAAATTAAATGTAATGAAGTGATTCTTAATTTGTCACAGTAGTGATTGACTCACGTATGTGTTGGAGATTTTATTAAAATCATTCCTGTGTCTGTAATTAAGTCTTTAATTGGATTTACAAAATTCCAGCTATACTCACGGTCTTATAGACTTATTGATTACAAACATAAAACACAAGATTGTAACGTTGCTTTGTTTCTTATTTAACATGCATTCCATTTATGTCATTTTTTCAAACTCCTTCTGGCCACTTAAAACAAACATTTTAGCCCTTGTGTAACTCCAGCTGTAGTGATCTACTAGAGCATTCTGGTAACAGCTGGCAGGACGTTCTTCCTTGATCACTATTTAAAATGTATATTTTATACATTCCTGGCTGTCAGAATATCCACTGTTAACAGAAAATTCAAGATCGTCTGCCACTCTGTTTTTTTTTATTTTAATATCACTTGAATTCTCATTGGAAAACAATGTGAGTTTAAAAGCAGCTATGTTGTGTATTTCTTTTTTTATACCCCCCCCCCCCCTTTATTGGTTATACTCCCTCCTTTGCCACTTGCCTTTATTTATAATAATTATTATAATGTTATTATTTATTTAGCACCAACAAATTCCACAGAGCTTCCTTCAGACAGATCTCCATATCCATATAGCTGTTTTAATCAACTTTCCCCATATCTGTGGGTTCCAGTTTAATGATTCATTGTTTGGTAAATATGATTGGCAACTGAAACAGATCCTTGTTTAAGCTCCATCCATTGTCAAGTTTTGTCAACTTCACTGCTAACCATAAGGAACAATAGTCCGTGTCTATTTTTATGAAAATTCTAGTACTCCGGAAAAAGATTCAGATACAGCGGACTATTCTGAAGCAGAATACGTTACTTTTGGTGATAGCCGCTTTAAGGGATTTAGTCTACCACCGGCTCTTTAGACTGGCCAGTACCTTACATTTCCGAAGGACTCTTACTGGCACCATCTGTAGATGTGGGGATAGCTGGGTTTTTTGGTCAGTCCTATTGAGTTGCCGGAGTTTAAAATGTGTTTTATTTCCCTAAATATTGCTTAAACTCAACTGAAAGTATTTTCTAGGTTTCTACATGTGGAGCACAAACTTTTACCATTAGAAACTACATTAGCAAAGTTGAGGAATAATATCTACTTCACTTAAAGTAGCAGATTTCAAGATTATTTTGTTTGTTATTGAATGTTGTTTAACACCATTAAAAAGAATGTATAGTGTTCATTTCAAAAAATATCTGAATGTCTGCAATGTTGAACACGGAACATATTTTACATCTTTGTATATTTGATGCTCCATTATCGAAACATGGATTACTTTGTAAACACACCTCAATAAATACAAAATGTTATTTAAAAAAATTAAAATTATCCAGCTGAAGTGGTTGACGTTAACACAGTGAAGATAGTGGATGCATGGAATAGCCTTCCAGCTGAAGTGGTAGAGGTTAACACGGTAAAGGAGTTTAAGCATGCGTGGGATAGGCATAAGGCTATCCTAACTATAAGATAAGACTAGGGACTAATGAAAGTATTTAGAAAACTGGGCAGACTAGATGGGCCGAATGGTTCTTATCTGCCGTCACATTCTATGTTTCTATGTCTCTAACTGTGCCGCAGACTGGTCTGTCCAGGTTATACCAGGAGATACTGAAAGCCTGTACATGACAGGGTTTTTAAACTGGCTTTTTGAGGCCTTAAAACATTCACATAATCCGCTTTTTCCATGAATCTGTGGACTGAAAAGTCACAAGACGCTGTTATAAAGCAGCCAGTTCGAGTCTGAGACGCTCATTATCCCACGCATCGCTAGATATGACACAGTTATTAGGATTAAAGCCTTTTATAATGCTACCGTTCCATTAACTCCCGGAGAGCCAAATAATGGGACATAAAATAATTAGCTCACATTTATTTCAGTGAAATAGATTATTCCTATACATCTCAGAGGATATCTCCCTAAGTCACAGAAAGCAGCCACCGAGCTGAAACGGAAAATGTCCAGCATACAACACGCATTTAATACAATTCATCGACCACTGAATGTCCGACCAGTGGCCACTTTTCCAGGACACCATTTGTCAAACTTCTCGAGTGGACTTTGTTTAAAATATCACCAAGGATCTGGCACGAGAACAAAAACAGGTTTTGTAACTCATTTGTGCTTAAAACATGAAAAAACACATCCAGAGCATGCTGCTGCAAACTGAGCTCATATCTGGCCATTTATCACTCGCGGGATATCACTCTGTTATGCAACACTGAATTATGTTCTTTATGCGTCTATAAACAAGGGTGGGTACTGGCGTTTAGTCACAGGCATTGCCGACACTGAAAGTAATATGGCAGACGGCGACTGGAACCAAACAGCTGGAGTAGAATAGCGGATTTAAAAGAATACAAAAAAATTATCAAATGCTGAGACTTTCAAACATGCTTTTAGTTAATTTGGTATTAACCCCCCGCCTCCCCCCCATGAGTATTGCTGGCAGATAGTTAGACGATTACAGGAGCTGACGCAGCCAAGGCCCATCCTTGTATAATTAACCCGCACCATCTGATTTCGCTCTCGCTATACTGACTGGTCATCAGCTGAGCTACGATTCCAAAGGGATCTACTTTTATGTTTTGACATGTTTAGTGTCACCTGATGATGTTATTGCGCAGTCCTGTTTGATGCTGATGGTGTCCAGACATGACGTCCCTCAGGATCAAGAGTTGGTGGATTCCTGGACTTTGACGTCGCAGCCTTTTCTGTCTGTTTACAATACAGCCGTTAGAAAAACTGCCACAGTAGGCGTCACACTGTCCGCCATTTTTCAGGAATTGTCTGCTGGCACATGGTGACAATACCTGTTCACTTATTATGTTCGCTAAACCTCCAACATATTCCACAGTGCTGTACAACAGGTGGGCTAACAAACATGCAGACCGAGAAACAATTGGATGTAAAGTAACAGAAGGGAGTGATGACCTTGCTCCAACTACATTACTGTTAGTCTAAAACCTGCCCTCACAAAGCTCGCAGACAGCTGTTTATATGAGACTGCCAAAACATAGGTTATCAGCAGCCTTCAAGATTATACAGAGAATGCTGAAAGAGTGGTGGATACAAGAAATAACTATCCAGCAGATGTGGTATAGCATAATGGTGCTATCCTGGATGGGACAGAATAGCAGTCAAAGAGCTGATATTATTTGGGTTTTACAAATAAAAAGTGGCTTGGCAGCACTCCTGTATTTAACGGAGTCCCTGTTAGAGAGAGGGTCTGATATGAAATCTGTTCAGCTTGGGAGTTTATTAATGGTTTAACACTGTATTCCTTGTGAACACGTCTAGATCTGATTTAGATCCAACGTTACCCAGTTTATATTTATAGGAGTTGGTTTTACACACGAGAGCTGCAGTGTGGCGACTTTTCAAACGTTTCATATAGTATTAACGGTGCAGGACGGGTATACAGACTACCACAGTAGTGTATCTGAATTAAATTGCCACCAAAGAATGCACACGTGAAGATCCACAAAGTTTGGGTTATGTTACGTCCAATATAGAACTGATCTCCAGCACAATGGAAAGGATTGAAATCCCAAGAGGCTCCAAGCTGGAACTGCTCTCTTCTTTTCTTTTATTGCATTGTATAGAAAAAGCATTCCGAAAACTTTTTAAATTTATTAAATCTAATAAGTACAAAAAACACTTTCATTTCCTGCAGTTGCTGTTGATCTCCAGGTAATGAGCTCTGAGTAGACCAGGAAGTGATATATCCAATTATGAAACCTCCTTAACATATCCCAGATATAGGCGTAGAACAGAGTTAATACAAGATAGTGTATGTTTCTGCTATAGCGAGCTGCTGTAAAGCCTAAATGGCTACTCCAAGCATCGCTCTGCAGTAGTGATTATGGTACCAGGAGCACCCTGGCCAATTGTCCCTGGTAACGGTTTGCCCTCTTACCTGGATCCTCGTTGGGCTCTGAGACTCCCTGCTGCTGTGGTGATACAGGCACCATGACCTCTTCAAATCACTGAAGGGGTCATGGTGAATGGAGTAACCCAGTATTACTAATACTAATACTAATACCATTTGGGAATATTTCTGATTACAGCCCACTCAGAGGCGCTTTCCACAGATTTTTGGAGCTAAAGCGGATAGGAAATCTCAGACATTTTAACAGACTTCAAGACTGTGCCCATAAAATGTGCAGCAGGTGGGTGGACATTCCCCGAACGAGCATAGTGGTGGACTTCTCACCAGCTGGATTGTGGACAGAAATGAAATCAGGAGATCTTGCAGGAAAATTCACTGAGCCACATTCAGAGTAAATGTATATCCTTATTCTTTAAAGTAAGAATTCAACTTTAAGGTCAGGGTAGGCGAGTGGAGAGCACAGCTGGCTGAGCATTTTCCCAGTTCGGCTAATTTGACCTAAATTTCATATTCACTTTGAATTCAAGGTTATTCACTATAGTGAGAATTCAAAGTGATTTTAGAAAAGTTCAAACTAGCTTAACTGGAAAACGTCTCCTAGTCAGCTACGCTCTGTTTGGTAATCAGGCCTTCAATTTGAAACACACTTTAAACTCTCACGTTGGTAAGTAACCTGCTTGATGGACAATTGCCTCAAGTCTTCAAATAAAAAGGTTTTGTACAGCAAAGTGTTCCGTTGTATGCCAAACACTAGAAATATTCTAGAAATTATACGTGTGAACAAGAGAGAAGCTACTGGGAGATTTTCAGTTTTATTGTTTTAAACCCTTCGACCCTAGAAATATTACATCATCTACCATACAAAGCTCACAGGTTTAGCGTTTACTTCTCTTCCGAATAGTAAAATTTAAACATCAAAACTGGTCTAAAAACCTAACAAGTTACTTTGACGGTGATGATTCTGACGAGCTTTAGAGCCGTGATCTGTTTTTACACACACAGGGATATTTAGCAAAGGAAGATCTCAAAATGTATTTCAAGTCTAAGTAACTAAATGGAAAGCATGACTAATTTAGAGATTTCCATCCAATTCGGCTATTCTAAACTTAAAGAAGTGGGGACCATGGACCTCATCGGCAGATGAGAGAAGATTTTGTGACCTATTAGTCAACCATTAGAATTCTGAAGAGAAACAAGAGATATTATTGAAACATTTACTGGCGTGAAAATGAGCATCATGGGATATTTTGCATTTTAATTTGGATGCCAAGCGGTCTGCACACATTGTGCCTTTGTGTGGATGCTTATTTAGAAAAACAGAATAATTAATATGTAAGGTAGTTAACTGCTTGTCGATCCAATATTATTTTTTTAAAGTCTCTGAAATCTCTGTAAAACAATGTGAGGAAAATTATGTTATTTTTGTCTAATGTTATATAATCGTATTCACAACATTTCAACTAACTTATGAAAAAATGTGTTTGGTTAAAATAAAGCACGTATTAAGAAGGCTGTTGGCAGAAGAACGTGCTTTAATAAAGCTAATGACAAGTCATTGTTCTTAGTATAAGCATTTTGTACATTGTGCATGTGTAGCGTACATTTGGAAGTCATTTTGTGTGATGTCTTATAAATCAAATGGTTTATACACTCACTGTGCATACTCCACAATTTATTTATTTAATAAAAACAAAGGCAAACACGGACATTTTGAATTATATATTTATGCTTTTTTAAAAATAAATATGGTTTCTACATAATATTTTATCTGAATAGAAGTGTGTTAATGATGTGTGTTTTGAAACAATTACAAATTATAGCACCAATAAATAAAAGAAACAAATATTACAATAAAAAAAAAAGAAGATGATTTGTTAGGGTATAACTGTTTTTTTTCTTTTTAAAAACATTATTTACAAAAAGAGAAAAAAAATATCATTTAATACAGAAATATACATATATTAATCCTCAGGTGCAAGAAGTTTTGAGTACAAAGCCCCTGTGCCACGGACTGAGTTAATGGCTTCATGGCGAATATATATTTTCTATTAAAATAGTGGTAAAATTGTCAATATGCAGCAAAACCCAGACGAGAATGTATTAACACTTCTGTTTACTCACATCGTACAGATGACATTCAACTGTGAGCAAGCTCGTACGTTAACACGACAAAGCGTATCCTCTGTTAATATTAAATGTGAAAATCTTTAGGACATCGGAAGAAAACCAAATTGTAATTATTATTAATAACACCACACAAGATGGGGTGAGGTCTAATTCATTCACTGGTGATATCAAGATCAGTGCTTCAATTCAAAATAAGCCCTGTGGTCAAAATCAACAGATCCACAGGTGGAAGGATTCTGATCACAAGAGGATTCAGGAAAATTTGAAGAAGTGGAGTATAATATCTTAAATGACTAGAAAGCGAGAATGAGATGGGAAGAAGGGGGGGGAGGGGGGGCATTGAGAGGGTTATGTAGCTTGTTATGAGGTAAGAGCAGATATAGGATCACACACTTTATATTGTCAATGATTTTTAAAGCACTGTTCCAGAAATCAACATGAAAACGTGGAGATGAAATGGTCATGCTTAAGCAACGGTGCAATGGTCAAGCAAGGCCAACCAGTCAATTCTGGAGAAAGACACTTCCCATTTCTTTTAATAAACTCAATTATAATTGTTTTCCAAAAAACAACTTACATGGGAAAGCAATACCTTGTCCTTTCCTCCAGTAAGTAACGAAAACCAAGGTTAATCATCTAACAGAGGTTAAGGGTGTATTCCCAGGCTGTTTATGATGGGGAGGTCCAGCCTCGGGATCTGGGTTCTTTATTAATACTGCACATGACAAGTTTTGCCATGTGATGTACAAGGCTTTAAACAGGTTGTGAGAATGTGATATAAGGCTACTCTCAGAGGACAAGCATAGCAAACCTTCCCTTACAAAGCAACACATTTCATCTTCACACTCCAGTGGAAAGACTACAATTGACACCTCATCATTGTCTTTGACCCGCTGCACGCAAAGTCCGTAACAGCGTTCTTCCCCAGAGTTGACCTTGGAGGTGTATCTCAAGGTCACTGACCCACATCAGTCCCGGAGAGAGTAAGCAATGTCTTTGGCACTCTAAATATTAGAGGATTGAGTTTGGAAAGAAAACTTGAAACATGAATTCAAGTGAACATTTAATTGTAGACATTTCTGCCTCCCCCAGCATTTCGTGTAACTCACAGTTTGGGGTGCATTAAATGTATGTATGTAGTGTCTAACTGTGTACGATTGGGATTCAGTGGTAATACAATGCTGTTTTATTTGTAGTATTTTATTAGAGTCTGTCTGTCAAGTTACTTTTAATCAACAGTATCAAAATCAACGAAGCAAAAAATAAATAAATAAATATCCCCACTCCCCTAATCGGTTTAGCCTTCTGCCGTATGTCTGTAGCAGGCAATCATTTTATTTTCATCGTTCTATTTTGTCAGTGCGACTAAAGGATCTGCAAACATACAGATGTGAACATAGGGGTTACCGCAAGAAAAAAATAAAAAATTCTAATACTCGACAATCCACCAGTGGCTGGATTCAAACATGGCAACTCCTCCCTTTCCCATGAAAGAAGCCGCTATAAATACTTTATGTGTAGACCTAGGATATGTGCATTCACCAAGCCACAGAGTGGGGGGTGGTTTCCAGGAAATCGGGACTTATGGATTAAGAAACAGCCTCAGATAAGTTAGTGGTATTATTTTTGGTTATACACTAGTGTGGTTAATAGGGGTTCCTATTTAGGGGTGCGGGAGGATAAAGGACTGAAAGGCCATTTTGAAAGGACAGCACTACCGCTTTAGCAGACAAAAGGCCTCAAAAGGTGCAATGTATTAGTCTCACTAAAATATTTGTATAGTCAAAAACACAGCATGTTTTTTCTTTTAAATTGAGAATTAAACAATAATATAAGAAATTAACAAAACTCTGATATAAAGGTACACGTCAACTTCGAAACATATTGTATTCAAGATACCAATTCGACTGAGGCACCCAGTGTCAACAGCTTAAGTTAGCTTCACTTATAGACAACCCAGTAACTACCTTCCCCCCAAATTACTCTCTACAGGCTTGTGGAGCAATCGAGAAATTAAGAGACCACTACAGAGAAGAGATGCAACATTGAACAATTCATGTATTTGTTTTATAAATAATGTGAAATTTAAATAAAAACAAACACTAAGCCCTCCTCGATTCTTTAAAATTAAAATGGAACAAAATAGAGATTAAAAAAATGCAATGCAGCTTCTGCACCTCTGCATACATACATTCACACACAGTGTCTTTACAGATACATCTCAGTAGGTATACATATATAATGCGTACATCTATATATATATATATATACACATACAAAGATCTGCAGGAATTAGCTGTTGGGATATATAAGTTACATGTGAGACTAAAATAGTCATGTATGTCTGTATGCTTTGATAGATGTGCGCGTACCCCTAACCGCCTAAACAGCTTCAGATTTTGGAAGGATCTGAGTGACATTAACCCCTTCAACGCCAGTAAGTTGTAGCAAGGTGCTTGGAAGTGAAATGTCCATCTAAATACATCATAGGAGGGGATTTGTTTATAGATTCAGGAAAGAACAGCTTTAACTCCTCCATTCCAAGAAGGCACTTCGTAAGGTTTTAGGGATTTTATTAGGTGGGTTTAGCAAGAATAATTCAATATTACGAGTTTGGCACCAAACAATACAAGGTACAGAGGGGACATGCCATGAAGCTGCATGTAGGTTCTGCAAGGACCCAATATTTCTAGTCTACGATAGGAAGCACATTGCTGTCCATTAATCGCCCTATTTATGGGGAGACTGGCAAAAAGAGGCAGTGTAGGGATGTTTACGGCTCATAACCCCTTCACTGCCACGAAGCAATGCATTGCAGACAACCCAGCATTAGTAGGGTTAATACTGATTCATTTCACTTGCTGAAATGGGGGGGAGGGGAGGGAATCCTTTTCGGACTACAGACCTACAGCCAGACATGGTTTTCCCCTGTAACTCAGTCTAGCAGCAAAGGAGCCAACTCCCCCAGAGGGGGATTAACCCTTCTATTCCGTCAGGATAATTGACTAATTCGGCACTAAAAGCCGTTATTTTGAATGTATTTCTTATTGTACAGTGCATCTGACCTTCTGGGAGACGGGGTTAAGAGTACAAGGTGCTTTATCACATTTGTGTAATGTCAAGGTGAACCTGCACCCCAACCCTTGGCCACTGTGTAGAAGACAGAGGTGTGGGTTTAGGGATGTTCAGAGCCACGGGGTATTGAATGTGTAATAGGATATCCTCAACAGATGTGTGTGTCTGTATACATGAGTTACACATGCAAAAGGTTACAGTGAATATATTTCCGAGACTCCAGTGACAGCAGAAAACAGGAATCCTCAGCTCAATAATTTATATGTTTACATTGAGAGCATCACTCTGTATCTTAGTTGGGTTAACTGGGTGGTGGGACCAGCTAGCTTCAGATTCTCAGACAGGCTGAGCCAGTCCTGGTTCTGTGATTGTATTTATAGATTACATTTTTGGCACCTCTCATACGAGGGTGGCGAGCCTGAACTCACTGGAAGGCAGTCTCACTCAACATAAACAATTAGTCAATCGAAAAGCAAGCCTCACTCAGTATGAGTGATTCTTACTTATATTGTAGCATTTCCACTCATTATGAGTGAGTCTTCCTCACTGGGTGAGTAGTAACTCAATTTACAACGCAGTTCCATTGACTTGACACGAGTCTTGGTCACTGGAAGGACACCAGTCTCTAAGAATTATCTCCAGAGTTCTATCACACTCCACGAGTTGACGGTTCTTCATTTGGTCCACACCAATTGCTTCTTTGAAAACTTGGACATTTAGTTAAGACCACAGATAACAGATCTTTACTGGCCCAGCACATGTCTGGTAAAATGGAGCCAAGAGGTCACATATATTAACAAGTTTTTTTTTTTTCCTTTTTTCTTTTTTTATGGCTTGTTTTGAAGCGTAGACGAAGGGAAAGTCCATGGGATAATACACCTTTCTATCTCGTGCAGCCATCGTGCTGAATGATGTCACCTTTTATAAACACTTCTGTGCTTTAACAGTCAGTTAATGTCCATCAGTCTTTCTCCAAAACACACAGTAGGATTGGCATGACAAAACCTCTTCCTGCACCTTGGATGCTGGCGCAGGATCTCTCTTTTTCTGAAGGATGGAATCTGAAGATTTCCAAACATTCTCAGCAGTGCTGCTTTGACCTTTTACTTTTTTTTCGTAAGATGTGGGTTTAGCGTAGATAGTGACAGTAAATATATCCCAAACATCCATACAGGAAAGTTAATAATATTAGACGTTAAACTCACAGCTAAACCCCACATGTCAGTTTATAAAAAAAAATAACAACCAGAGTTCAGTATTGGCCACAAGACTCCAGAAAGTATACTTATCGTGTTAATAAAAAAAATATATATATATGTATGTATGTATATAGAGACACACACACACACACATATATATATATATATATATATACATATATATACACATTTATATATTGCTATCCATAATCACTTCGAATAATAATAATATAATAATATAATAATAATAATAATAATAATATATATTTGTAGGATTTTTCCTACACCAAAAAAATACAAACATCATTATTTTTATAGATATATATATGACCCCTGGTGTTTGTGGCTCTTGGGTGTTTAGCAGCATAAAATTTGATAAAGAGAAGGAGAGATGGTTTTGTAATGGTATATACATTCGCTCCCTCTTCGCGGAATGCTTAAAACCAAAGTGCTGTGCTGAGTTTAATCCTTCATTTAGAATCCGTCTTGTCTCTCGCAGGGAGACTGGCTCCATTTCTCACCGTCGTGGTTTTTCACATCTGAGTAAAATTTAGGGGGGAAAAAGGAAACAGTTTAAAAATAAAAAACAAAAAAAAAATATTTCCTCTCTTTTTCTAGAGTTACTGTTTTACACTATTCTCCCCAATGTAAACACTATAGAATGTGGTTGGGATAAAAGTGAATGTTGTGGTGTCAGACAGGTTGTGGACACTGGATCTGCTTGGACACCTTGTCTGGAGGCTGAATGCAAACTACGTGTCTGCATCAAACTTTGCCAGGGGTACTGCGTAATCTGTAATTCACAATCTAAATGTGGTAATCGTTTCTATGTCATGCTACAATGTGGCCTTTTCAGGCTATTTTTGGGATACAAACTATAAACTAAGGACAAACGAGGCCATCTGCTTGTTGAGTTTGTCTTTGGTTGATGGTAGTTTAAGTTTATAAACACCACAAAAAAGTTTCATGTACTAGACACCATTCCCCCAACCAGACTGCAATTCCCCTGGACAAGGTTAAACACTTTAAATGGCAGTACTAAATAGAAAACATCAGCTGCTTTCAAAAGCATTTGAGAAAGTGAGTGTCCCAGAGGTGGACATAGGTTGATAAGAGTTTGGGAAAAGACAAGTGTTACTTGGGGTAACTTACTTTGCTGTATAGAGGTGGCAGAGCGCGTGTTAGTGAGCGAGGTCAGCAGATAGAGGGGCCCCCATGTGGTTGCACTGCTCTAGGCTTCGTGTCTCTCCTAGTGAAAGACAACACACTGCTCTAATTGTGCTCCCTGTGTACGCATTTTGCCATTCTCATCACCCAAGTTTACTCACAAATCCATGTATAATGAGCTCTGATAGACCTTCGTATTCATTGCCATTTACCAATCCACAAGTCAGGAACAATTGCACTGCTCATGTGTGATATGAAATCCATGCATGAAAATCTCAGGCTGTCCTAGTCTATCTCAGACTATCTACAAATCCATTCATAGACATTTCTAGCTACTCTATCTTAAATTATATACAAATCCAAAATCGTAAAGATCTCCATCTGTTGTACTCTCTATTAAATCATCTACAAATCCATCCATAAATGCTTGGGCTGTCCTACTCTGCTCCAGACCATCTTTAAGTCCATTCATAAAGATCTTTCTGTGTCCTTATTCGTTTTATGCCATCTACAAACACATGCATTTAGAGATCAGACTGTCCTACTCTGTCCCTGACTACTGACAAACTCATGAACGACGTCCTCTCTCTATTCCACTCTGTTACGGGCCATCTACAAACCCATGAATGAAGATCTCTGTCTGTTCCTGGTCTTCTACAAATACATGAATGAAGACATCTGTCTGTTCATGGCCATCTACAAAACCACGAGTGAAGCCCTCTGTCTGTTCCACTCGTTTCCTGGCCATCTACAAAATCATGAATGAAGCCCTCTGTCTGTTCCACTCGTTTCCTGGCTATCTAGAAACCATCAATAAAGCCCTCTGTCTGTTCCTGGCCATCTACAAAACCACGAGTGAAGCCCTCTGTCTGTTCCACTTGTTTCCTGGCTATCTAGAAACCATGAATAAAGCCCTCTGTCTGTTCCTGGCCATCTACAAAACCATGAGTGAAGCCCTCTGTCTGTTCCACTCGTTTCCTGGCTATCTAGAAACCATGAATAAAGCCCTCTGTCTGTTTCTGGCCATCTACAAAACCATAAATGAAGCCCTCTGCCTATTCCTGGCCATCTACAAAACCATGAATGAAGCCCTCTGTCTGTTCCATTCGTTTTCTGGCCATCTACAAAACCATGAATGAAGCCCTCTGTCTGTTCCTGGCCATCTACAAAACCATGAATGAAGCCCTCTGCCTGTTCCACTTGTATCCTGGCCATCTACAAAACCATGAATGAAGCCCTCTGCCTGTTCCACTTGTATCCTGGCCATCTACAAAACCATGAACGAAGCCCTCTGTCTGTTCCACTTATTTCCTGGCCATCTACAAACCATGAATGAAACCCTCTGTCTGTTCCACTCATTTCCTGGACAACTACAAACCATGAATGAAGCCTTCTGTCTGTTCCACTCATTTCATTGTAACAACTCATGATATAGCAATGAATTAAAAAGCAGTCTGCTTTTTTCTACAGAGCTTCTTTACATAATCACTCTGTACATGGTGCTCGAGCATTTACTTCTAATAGGAAGCTACACTCAACAACTGCTGCTTAATGTCGGGTAAACGTGTCTTGCCACTCACGTTCAGAAACAACATAAAGCTGAGAATAGGCTTTGTGTGTGCACAGATCAGCTCAATTACAATACATAAGAACAATTTCATTTCTTGTGGTTTACATATTAAAAGACCAACGGAGAGAAACAGTGAGAAACAAGTGTTCAGCCTGTACAGAAAAGTTGTCCATAAAGAGAGGTTCAAGCAGGGATGAGCAGGAAGCTGCCACTCTCGTAGCACTGCGTTTAGTGACTGAATTTGCATATTTCCCAGGTGTGTGGAAAACCAACCTGCAAGTCCTTTCGTTTAACTCAAGCTGCCTCGTTTTGCAACGTGAGTCTGTGTATTTACAGGAACATTTACAGGTCAGGGGGTCTTGGACAAACATGTGTTTTCTCCTCTCTTTGCAAGGCTCACAATGACTGCAAAAAGCAAAAAGGAAAAAAGAGAGAACTAAGCTAGCGCATCAGCAAGAGAAACGTCATCATGCATTACTGAAGAACACATCAGAAGCCTCTACCCACCCTCCCTCCCGAACAACCCTGGGTGACCACACAAAGAGGAGTCATACGGTGCAGGTATTTACTCCCGAACAGCCCAGGGTGACCACACAGAGGAGTCATACGGTGCAGGTATATACTCCCGAACCGCCCTGGGTGACCACACATAGAGGAGTCATTTGGTGCAGGTATATACTCCCGAACAGCCCTGGGTGACCACACATAGAGGAGTCATTCGGTGCAGGTATATACTCCCGAACCGCCCTGGGTAACCACACATAGAGGAGTCATACGGTGCAGAACATGTCATGTAGAAAACAAGTTACAATAGTAGATATGTGTCACCCTGGATCGTGATGTCCTATGAGTAACCGTTCCCCATAAACCCTTAATAGTCTTGAATGAAATGACCCCCAGCTTCGAAACTAAGGATCATTACGTCCAGAAAACAATGGGGTTTCTATATATTGTATTTAGAATAGAGGCTGGAAGTCATGTCCTTACAGACCCTGTTATCTGAGACATCTATAGAGCTCCCAATCTCAGTTCTCTGTAAAAGGATATAGACAGAGCAAAGTAAAGCAGACAGAGCTAAAACTCTGCATTTGGAGAGAAAAAAAATGAAACCATCAGGACAGGCTCAGACAGGGCTGGGTTTATATCTAATGTAATGACTGTACGTTATCAGGACAGGCTCAGACAGCGCTGGGTTTATATCTAATGTAATGACCGCACGTTATCAGGACAGGCTCAGACAGCGCTGGGTTTATATCTAATGTAATGACAGCACGTTATCAGGACAGGCTCAGACAGTGCTGGGTTTATATCTAATGTAATGACAGCACGTTATCAGGACAGGCTCAGACAGCGCTGGGTTTATATCTAATGTAGGGGATCTGACAGCACGTTATCAGGACAGGCTCAGACAGCGCTGGGTTTATATCTAATGTAATGACTGCACGTTATCAGGACAGGCTCAGACAGCGCTGGGTTTATATCTAATGTAATGACTGCACGTTATCAGGACAGGCTCAGACAGCGCTGGGTTTATATCTAATGTAATGACAGCACGTTATCAGGACAGGCTCAGACAGTGCTGGGTTTATATCTAATATAATGACTGCACATTATCAGGACAGGCTCAGACAGCGCTGGATTAATACAGCTGTTCTACGAGAAAATGATGCAGAGCATATTGCCAGACCGTTCTTTTAGAATAATCAAACTTGGTATCTGGTTCGTTAAAGCATTTAATAAAAGGAAATCCTTCCTGACGGAATTTATAAAGCTTTCCAAATGCAGAATTTCATGATTGAAAATAAAGAAAATAGCATGAAATGAACAACAAGACAAAAGCAAAAGAACTTCACCAGACAAACCGTGTGAATAATTCCTAAAGTAGCTTCATTTTGTTACAGAATTCAATACTAAAGTCACCCATATGAAAATCCTTTGAGTAGAATTGCTAATTTTAATTCTTTTTCTGATCATGCGATATAAATAATTGTTCTGTAGCAGAGTTTCAGCAGCTGGGGCAGTGATTTTCCTTGTGAGGATGAAATACCCAGGAAAGGGCCAGATTCTGTTAGAAGAGATAGCACTGGGAAGCACTCAGTTCTGTATATCTCTTATAACAGAATGCAGTTTGGATTAAATGTAACCCTCTGTGTGGAAGCAGCCATGCTAGCCTAATTGCAATTCCCAGGATTCTCAGCCAGCCTTTGTTCACGGCTCTCTGCAATGCCAAGTTTAGATCACTACTGGTTCATGACAGCTTAATATTGCTCAAGGTCTGGGAATTTATATCAAAACTTTTCAAAATCACAGGGGTTGTGGGGGTGCCGTACAAATAAATGATTGTCCATAGAAGAGAAACTTGAAATTTAAACCCTTCACAACAGGTGACACACTAAGCTCCTCATAATATAAATGGACAATCCTGGCCGTTTGTTATGAAGGGGTTAATTCTCTGTGGTCCTGGAGACTCTGCATATGAAGCAAAGGTGAACAATGAATAATAAAATACTTAATAAGCTGTGCTCAGTTAGTAGAAACAAAAAGGAAAGGGGGACAATCCCAGCACCAGTAAAAGATTTAAAGGGAAGATATATGTGGATAATTACCATTAACAGATGTGAGCAGTTGCAATGTTCTGGTACTGTAGGTAAAAGGTAAGTGGGATGTTGCTGCAGTATCAAACTATGGCTGGTAGTCTGGAATAATAGCGCAAACAAGAACTGCCATTGCCTGTTCTGTCAGCTTTGTTTAATTAGAGCATGGTTAGAGGACATATTGCGACTGCGTACATCCAATTGGATTCAGAAACACATACATTGTACTTTGGGGTATATGTTCCCTCTCTATATTAGTACTTGATGCAGTGCACTTGTGATGACTTAAATGGTTAAATATCGATGATGCATTAAAGGACCACTCTAGGCACCCAGACCACTTCAGCTTAATGAAGTGGTCGGGGTGCCAGGTCCCTCTAGGATTAACCATTTTTTTTATAAACATAGTTTCTGAGAAACTGCTATGTTTATAAATGGGTTAATCCAGCCTCTAAAGCCTCTAGTGGCTGTCTCATTGACAGCCGCTAGAGGCGCTTGCGTGCTTCTCACTGTGAAAAGCATTATGAATGCTTTCCTATGAGACTGGCTGAATGCGCAGGCAGCTCCTGCCGCGCATGCACATTCAGCCGACGAGGAGGAGGAGAGCTTCCTGCCCGGCGCTGGAGAAAAGGTAAGTTTAACCCCTTCCTCTCCCCAGAGCCCGGCGGGAGGGGGAACCTGAGGGTGGGGGCACCCTCAGGGCACTATAGTGCCAGGAAAACGAGTATGTTTTCCTGGCACTATAGTGGTCCTTTAAAGGTGCACTCACTGTACTAATCCTAAACCAATTTAATCTCTCGTTACTGGCAGACATTGGAGTTTAGATTTTCCTTCTACATTTAAGGCCAGTTTATTAGATTCCATATTCAGACATGGAGTGACGGAACATGGGAACAGTACGGTCTCTCCATGCTTTATCCTGTTCCCACTCTCTACTCCGGTAAAAATCCCGGTCATCCTTTCACTCCCGTTTACATGGCAGACTAATTATGCAGACTTATTTTCAGACTATTCACTATATTTCGTTTTCTCATCTGCAATTTTTATGGCAGACAGAAAAAACGAACCTTTTATTTGTCACTGTAAGAGGGTTTTTTGGTGAAAGGTAAGTAGCTTTCAAAATCTTTTTATATAAACATTTCCTTCAAATTGCACATGTGCCAATTCATCTTGTAAAATAAGGCATTTGTCGTGACTTCTGAAAGTACCCAAAATATTCTCTCAAACTACAAAAAGGGCGGAAAAGAGTCCCCAATGTATAAAGGGTGGAGTAGCAGCTTAATACATAAAAAAACTGTGACCATTTTTATATACAGCCGCCTTTATAAGCACTACTTCTATATGGCTACCCGGGGAATTCAACAGAAAACTTGGCGAATGGAGACTTTTCACTAGTGGGGGTTTGATACAATCTCATTCTCTGCACCATTTTAAAATTTGTTTTGTTTTTAGATTAAATGCAAAGAGAAGTAATGACTACTTCGTGTTAAGTTTCTGGGATGCCTAGCAAGTTCTAACAGTCCTATTGTGGCCTTCAGTGTCTGATAACTAGTAGAACCGTCACGTGGAATAGAATACAATGTAAATCATCTTAAAGGAGCACTATAGGGTCGGGAACACAAACATGTATTCCTGACCCTATAGGGTTAAAACCACTATCTAGCCCCCCTGGGCCCCTCATGCCTCCATAAATATAGCAAAATCTTACTGTATTCAAGCCTGAAGCTGTAACTCTGCATGCTGTTTGCCTCAAAAAAAGCAAGCAGTCTGCTGACATCATCAGAAATGGTGGCCTGATCCAATCACAATGCTTCCCCATAGGATTGGCTGAGACTGACAAGGAAGCAGATCAGGGGCATAGCCAGCACAATTCAAACACAGCTCTTGCCAATCAGCATCTCCTCATAGAGATAAATTGAATCAATGTATCTCTATGAGGAAAGTTCAGTGTCTGCATGCAGAGGGAGGAGACACTGAATGTTTGGATGCATTTTAGGCAGCCATGACCCAGGAAGGATCTCTAACAGCCATCTGAGGAGTGGCCAGTGAAGTTATCACTAGGCTGTAATGTAAACACTGCATTTTCTCTGAAAAGACAGTGTTTACAGCAAAAAGCCTGAAGGGAATAATTCTACTCACCAGAACAAATTCAATAAGCTGTAGTTGTTTTGGTGATTATAGTGTCCCTTTAAATGTCAGAACCCGTACCGGCTCCCTGATGGTCAACAGTAGCCATTGAGAATAGTTTGATCCCATTGGTGTAGAAGTGAAAATGGCTTCCATCATGCTCTGAGGTGCTCAGTTGTGGTGTCCATGCTGTTATGCTTTATGAATAGTACATCCCCTGCCAGCGTGGCTCAGCGATTACAGAGAAGCTCTAAAATAAAATTACAAGTTTCTCCCGGACATAAAAACAATAATAAAAAAAACATTGTGTAACCTACTGAAAGAAAAACTGCTTTTCACAGAACGTAATTACGGCGCGGTTTCACTCTTCTGGGAAACAGAGTTCATTAAGACACGCAGGATGTGAAGGGTGCAAAGAAAATAACTTTCCCCAGCCTGCTAAAACCCCTCGTACAGATGAAATTATCTTAAAGCACTTGCATGTATATTTACAAATCTGTCAAACGCTATAATGGCTCATTAAAGTGAGATGGCATGCAATGTTAAATAATAACAGCAGATACACGCCAGGAGGTATCATTTACTAAGTGAACACCCACCACCAATTACATTGTCAGAAAGCCAATGTCACCTCACTGCACCCCAATGTTATCATGAGATTCCGTAAGTTATGGAAATGGAGGACACCCCATCACATCAAGCACTTCTTCTCTCACCACAAAAATATTAGTCAACCATCGAGCGATACAGAGCATCCAAACATGTACTAAAGGAGCTCCGATTATTTCCAAACAAGTTTCAGTAACGAGACAGTCTGCTGTCAATGATTGAATATCCTCTAGCAGCTGTGGGTTAATTCGATTAGTGGTGAATTTAGAGACAGCAAAATATATGGGATTATTTACTAAAAGTGTGAATTGTTGGGAATCTGAAGAGAATGGAAAGCGAATTTCAAAATATAAAACAAATTCTCAAAGCCAGCTAAGCTTCCATTTGGAGGACTTTAGACTAAACTGTGAAACTCACTTTGATTTTTAACAAGTCCCACTTTAGTGAATAACTAGGATATATTTCAGGTGCCTCTAAACAAAATCAAAACTTGGTGACCTTAAGTTTGGGAAGCTGCGTATATAGCATTACAAATCAGTAATTGTTGGAAATGGGGGTCCCACAAAGGTTTGAGGTGCGTGTTTGGAGAGTATCGGGGGCTCCGTATGACTCCCCTGCACTAGTCAATGGATTGGTTAGTTTGTTTCTGAGATTTTACTTCTCACACTTGGAATACGAGAAGGTTTACTGGCAGAAGGTAGAGAGGAGAAACTGGAAATCTCATGATGACATTAAGACTCCACTCATTACACCTACTACAGATTCCCGAAACGTGAACAGAGACCAACAAGCCACAAGCAAATTAATGGGATTAAATTTTGGGTGACGTGACACATGGCAGTCAGAGGGAGGGTGCCTGATTTTAAATTTTAGTGAGCACACGATACAAACGTACAAGCGTGGAGGTTTGTACCGGATTTTCTTGCGCTTTCGTTTAAGGCCCTTTCCTTGCTTTCCTTTTCTGGAAGAAAACAAAAAAAAAGAGGGAGAGACAGAGACAGAAAGAAAGGGCAAAAAACGAGAGAAACTAAAAGGAGAGTGGGTGAGGACGAACACCATAAAGGTGATACAATGAGTGCGGACGATGGATTCCGCCTCCTCTTGGGGCTGTGTAGCGGTCACATTAACAGGTTATTTACCAAGTGAGAAATCTAACAGAATGCAAAGAGAATTTCACATTTAAGCCCTGAGTAACCAAACTGGAAGTACAGCTCACTTTTTACAGTTTGACTTATTTATTATTATTATTATTATATTTATATAGTGCCATCAGATTCCGTAGCGTATCCGATCTTACATTTGAAATTCACTTGGAATTCTCCGTAGATTGTACATTTGTGGACTGGTCTCAACATTACTTTTTCTTTTGTAAACACATTTAGTATGCGTCATTCTCAATTCAAGTGCCACTGTGCATGTATTTTAACACTGTGCAGACTTGGTGTGTTACTCCAGACACAGAGTAAAAAATTATAGGAAGGCCGCAGCACTTGTACGCACCGATAAAGGCAGCAGACATGCTTATTGTTGTTCCTCTGCCTGCCTTTTGTCAGCCACTAAATCCCTGTGTGGAACAATAAAACGATGACAGGACAAATTCCACCAGCTTGGCTTCTGAAATCCTACACTCAATGCTTTAATTATGGCTGACTACAGTATCTCAGCCTGGAGGACGTACACTGCCTCTACGACCCTTCTTGCATTGGAACCTTCATTAAGTCTACAGCCTCTATGAAAATCTTCCAGGTTCAATAGCAGTCATGTGTCAGCCCAGAATATCCTCTCCTCTTTGTCAATTGAATCCTGTCTATTGGCATTCTTGAGCTACTGCTAATTCACCTGACAGGCCAAAGGTGGACAGTCACCAAGAATAAAATCATCAAGGTGAGGACACAAAACACTGCATCCCCTCTAGTAAAGTGATCCCTAAAAAAAAACAAAAAAACCTCCAACTGGTCACCTGGTGCGGAGGCAGCAGATTGGGCAGGTGCACGGTACCTGCATGGTTTCAGGAATTCACTTTCCTGGCAGTATACATGCTCACACATAGCTGACAGTGTGCACTCACTAATCACTGAGCCCTCATGTGCACACAGGAAGTTCAAAACACAGGTGCTGAGTCCAGGATACCAACACTGACAATTTTCTTCAGTTCTCTGTATGGAGACCACTTATCAAAGCGTGACGTGCAGAGGGTTAAACAGTTGCATGGTCACAGACTGGACTTCGCTGTCTGCCCTAGGACTACTGGAAGGGTTAAGAAAGGCCAGAAACATGTCTACAAGAGCTCTCTTCCTGCAGAGTGCAGCTAAGATTACCCATCCTGGTCATGAAGCCCCAGGACAGTAGAGGTGACCTTTCCCATGCACATGGTTCGATATTAATAGGAAGAGCATGTTCCTCCCACAGTGCATTCTGAGACCCTCAGCCTCTCTCTCTACGACACCACAAACTCTGTGCCGTTACCAACAACACGGCAGAAAATCCACTACAAAAGAGGGGTGCATTGTCCTTTTACAGCACTGATCATCTCTATACTGTAATTCTTTATATCTGGGGTCAGTGAAGGTTTCTATCATATCATAATGTAATCACCGCACGCTATCAGGACAGGCTCAGACAGCGCTGGGTTTATATCTAATGTAATCACCGCACACTATCAGGACAGGCTCAGACAGCGCTGGGTTTATATCTAATGTAATGACAGCACGTTATCAGGACAGGCTCAGACAGCGCTGGGTTTATATCTAATGTAATGACAGCACGTTATCAGGACATTAGATATAAACCTCAGCGCTGGGTTTATATCTAATGTAATGACGTCACATTATCAGGATAGGCTCAGACAGCGCTGAGTTTATATCTAATGTAATGACTGCACGTTATCAGGACAGGCTCACACAGTGCTGGGTTTATATCTAATGTAATGACCTCACATTATCAGGACAGGCTCAGACAGTGCTGGGATTATATCTAATGTAATGACTGCACGTTATCAGGACAGGCTCAGACGGCGCTGGGTTTATATCTAATGTAATGACAGCACGTTATCAGGACAGGCTCAGACAGCGCTGGGTTTATATCTAATGTAATGACTGCACGCTATCAGGACAGGCTCAGACAGCGCTGGGTTTATATCGAATGTAATGGCTGCACGTTATCAGGACAGGCTCAGACAGAGCTGGGTTTATATCTAATGCAATGACAGCAAGTTATCAGGACAGGCTCAGACAGCGCTGGGTTCATATCTAATGTAATGACCTCACATTAACAGGAAAGTGTCCGTGGACGGTCACTACACACGGTGTCTGTGGACGGTCACTGCACACGGTGTCTGTGGACGGTCACTACACACAGTGTCTGTGGACGGTCACTACATACAGTGTTTGTGGAGGTTCACTACACGGTGTCTATGGACAGTCACTACACACGGCGTGTATATATGGTGACACAGGTCCCAAGCTCAGCCCGTGTACAGAATAAATCAGCCGGTGGACGTGTTAAAATACATAATTAAATAAATTCTAATCTTACGTTTTTCTATTCCTTTTCTTTGAATTCTTTATCCAATTACAGCCCAGATTAAAAGGCAATACATACATACATAAACGGATATATATATTCATTTAATTCCATGTTATGATTTAATTTTAACCCTGCTAATGGGTTTCTCTGTAGTGAAGCGGTTAACCCTGACACCAGAGGAGTTACATGCACGGGGCGATTCAGCGGACAAGTGGTCACTTACACAAAATGACATCTAAATTATACAATAGTAAAAATTTATTAAATTAGCATATTTTGTATTTTTCCCTCCAGTGTTGAGTACAAATGGATGTGATCATACTGAGTTAATATACACCGAGGAGTCAAGGACCAATCACTGGCCAGGACAGAGCTTGCACACACATAGAATTAGCCAGAAAGCCATCAGCAAAGCAGAGGCAGAGATTGAAATCAGCCACCAAGCACTGCATGTTAACGGGGGGAGCAGAGCGATACCATAGCGCATTCATAGCAGCGGGAGAAGCACCTATTTCGCCATTACTAGGCCACCTTTTCAATGCTTTCGGATTTAAATGTTAAATAGGGCTGGAATACACACTACAACGCCGTGTCATCCTATCAATTTGTTGAATTTTCCCTTCCTCACACCAGCGTGCACTCTATTGGTGATAGGTACAACAATCTCAGGGTGCTACTGGATCAGTCCCAGTACCAAAGAGACCATGTATAAAGTATAATTGTAGGCACTCCAAATTGTTCCAATCAATAGGCAATTTTTTTTGGACCCAAGAACCACACAACGTTTTGACCCCGTTTTGTCAGCTTGAGTGGTCGAAAGTGGTCGAAACGTTGTGTGGTTTTTGGGTCCAACTAAAATTGCCTATTGATTGGAACAATTTGGAGTGCCTGGATTCCTACTTTCTACCAGCATGCACTCTGGCAGTCCATTGATTGGACGCTCAGCTCGGTCATATCTGAGTGGGCGCATCTTGGGATCAGTTTTATAGGCTGACACAATAAAGAAACCAGTATTTTATTCTAATTGTCAGCTGCTTGATCCAGTCCGCATCTCTGCACTACAGACTCTGACTACTTTTTATAAATGATCGCATACTCTATCGCTTTACAAGGAAGGTTAGCGGTGACGGTCACAGTGTGGCCAGACCTCCATATCATTAACGGAGGTCCTGGCATTACAGCACCAGAGGGGTAAATGCAGATATTACATCTAAGTCTGACAGATATGTAGGATTAATAAGGTGAACACTTACTTTTCCTGATTCGTTAGCACTTCTTTCTTTAATCTGTAAACAAGAAACAGAAGATTTTAAATGACCGGCAATCTCTCCCTTCCAGTGGGAATCCAACACGAACTTAAACTGCGCAACACACAAAAATCACAAACTGTGAACATATCAGTGGAAATGCTCACAGCGTGCCGTACACACAGGGTACTGACCTGCATTCGCACCGGCTGTGCTGCTGAAAGCTTTTATCGATTATGTGCTGCATTTTGTGAGGTTTAATACTCATTATCTGTGAAAGAAAATGAAAAAATATATATTTGTTGGAAGCATCTTGCTACAGTTACTACAACTCCCACAATCCACAACAGAAAAACAAGTGATACCAGCCATCAATCTAGGACACGCACTGAGAAACACGACTCCTGCTGTGATCCTTAATCTGCTGGGATTGTCATTTGGTTACTAAGGGACACCCCAGAGGGTGATTACACGCTGCTCATGAGTTTTCTAGGACAGGAGTCTCGCCTGGCGTCTTATGGCAATAGGACTGCCTGAAAGCAAACAAAATACCTACCTGCAAGTTATACTTTATACATAAAGCCGGATCAAAGTGCATCCTGGCCGCTATTACATGAACACGCCAGTGTTAAAATATACACCTTTCTCAGTGGAAAGATTATTTTACATTTTAGATTTAAAGCCCCATGTTGTTAATTGTTATTTATTATTAACATGTAATCCAGCACCGAGAACACCTTCATGTCGCAGTTCTGCTTCACCCTCAATACTGACGATTTCTAGCCCAATCTAATCCATGGGGGAGGATGCTTCTCATAGACAATCAAACAAACTTCTTTGGGGGACTAGAGTATTTCTTCACAAAAATAAATTAAGAAAGACGGTCTAATCTTGTTTTTCAAACCAGAATTTATTAAAAATATATAAATGGTTGTGTAAACACTTGCCACTGGAGGCTGTTGCACAATACAATCACTGGTTTTGTGGAAGACAGGACCATAGACCTGAACAATGTCCACGTTGACTGATTTCAGAACCGTGATGGAAAATGCAGTGAGTCTCAGCTCTTTACTATCTACAAGCATAGTGTGATTGTAATATAAGTTGAGCTATGTGGGTTTGCATGGGATACACGGCGTCCTTTTACCTGCATGGTGGTGTTGTAGGTCTCTGCTGGAACACACTCCAGTGTTTCATCATTGCAGCAGCCCGAACACCTCTTCAGGAGCACGCAGGATGGTTTGAATATGTATTCCACTTCATCGGGATACTCCTGATATATATCCACCATGGTCTCTCGCACCTGACAGATACTTTGCTGGAACACCTTCATAAATGGGACCACTGCACTCAGAGAGAACAGAACAGAACTTTAATACAATGCCGAGCGGAGGACAAGCACAGTTAAACACTTTAAAAACTTACATTTTACTGAAATGATGGTTTATGCAACAAAACATAAGTTTCAATTTCTAAAAGTCCATTGTTGCTTCAGAATGCATAATGGATTATAAATTAGCTTCAGAATGCATAATGGATTATAAATAAGTTGACAGTTCTGTATAAAAAGAGACACTCGGCATGCAAGCAGTGATGAGCCCTTGTTAGTGAGACATCCATCACGGATGGAATGAGGAGCAGACTAGAATAAGATTGGCCGACGTACATGGACGATAGACGTGATGACAAAATACACTACGGAAGAGAAACTAAAAAACAAGGCAACGGTTTAGGACTAGCTAAATACACTAATTGGCTTGTGCAAATCTATCTATAAAGCTGCCATTGATCTAAATATCTCCCTTTAGTAAGAAAATAGCCACGATTCCCAGAGTAAAATCCGCTTTAGGAACGTGGTGTGGTATCCCCAGCAATTAGATAGGCATTTCTCAACAAGTGGACAAAGACTCATAGTCAACGTGTTTTCAGACACATGGCGTCTGGATTAGCAACACAAATTCCCTTGCAGTTACAGCATCCTAGGAGGATTGTTCCACTTGCTGTGTGAATTAGCAGTCAGAGCCCTTTAAAATCCCCCTGGCTTCTCTGACACGGACTTGGGGCGATTATAAATGCCCCATACAGCTGTTGGATGGACCCAGCCCCCAGAATGATAACTACATCGCCCCATTTTAGAAACCACAGTCTTCTTTACCAAGGATGACCACTTGTTGCGAAACTAATCGATCTGCTACTGTTCACCCTGTTTGTCAAGGAAAAGCATTGTTTGCTGGTAATGCACAGATGGACAATTAGAGATGGGTTACTCAATAGTGAGAATTCTAATTTATTGTCACAGCAGCCAAACTGAAAGCTTAGCTGACTTCGGAAACGTTTCCGGTTTAGCGATTTTGAATTCTCACTTCAGTAGAAAAGCCTGTAATAATTTGTGGATTATTATTGTTCCATTGGCTCATTATTGGCTTGTGGGTCAGACTGTCATATTAGCTGCTGTGTGCCCTGGCATGGACAGGGTTAATCCAAGTAACCCTTAAAACACTCTCCACTTACAGAATGCTGTGTAACCTATGTGTTCCCACTTAATCGGCTGCAGATTCTCGCACACAGAAGTCCTCAAGTAACTTCACACTGTGAAGCAACCCCCCCCTCACCCCTCCATTCCCCTCACTGCCAAGAGTGGTCCCACACAGGAGACCACCATAGGAGCAGCTGGAGTGCTGCCCATCCCCCTCTCCCAATGGCCCACCCCAAACTATGTTATTAGTGAGGCCTGGTTCTCATCCTGAGCATAAATCATTGCATTAAACTGAAATTCACAACTCTGCCGGCTGCCATTACCCCAGGCTTGCTGTATTTTACTGCAATGTGCTTTATTCATCTTATTCACATTCTCAATGGACTCCCTTACAGCGTCACCTGCTTCAGGAAAGTTTATATGGCATACTTGTACGCCATATTTCTCTGCCTTATAGCACTTACCAGTATTCTTTGTAACCCACCTCTCACTCAATTGCAGCACGGATTAGGGCATTTATATGCCAATGACAATTAACTACTGTTACAGCAGCATCTTATAATGGTCAAATCTACTCCCTCTATACAGTGACAGGTGCCACACTGCCCCCTCTATACAGTGACAGGTGCCACACTGCCCCTCTATACAGTGACAGGTGCCACACTGCCCATTCTATACAGTAAGAGGTGCCACGCTGTGCCCTCTATACAGTGACAGGTGCCACACTGCATCCGATATACAGTGACAGTTGCCACACTGCCACCTCTATACAGTGACAGGTGCCACACTGCCCCCTCTATACAGTGACAGGTGCCATATTGCCACCTCTATACAGTGACAGGTGCCCCACTGTCCCTTCTACACAGTGACAGGTGCCACACCGCGCCCTCTATACAGTGACAGGTGCTACACTGCTCCCTCTATACAGTGACAGGTGCCACAGTGCTCCCGCTTTACAGTGACAGGTGCCACACTGCCCCTTCTATACAGTGACAGGTGCTACACTGCCCCTTCTATACAGTGACAGGTGCCACACTGCCCCTTCTATTCAGTGACAGGTGCCACACTGCCACCTCTATACAGTGACAGGTGCCAGACTGCACCCTCTATACGGTGACAGGTGCCAGACTGCGCCCTCTATACAGTGACAGGTGCCACATTGCTCCCTCTATACAGTGACAGGTGCCACACTGCCCCTTCTATACAGTGACAGGTGCCACACTGCCCATTCTATACAGTTACAGGTAGCACACTGCCGCCTCTATACAGTGACAGGTAGCACACTGCCACCTCTATACAGTGACAGGTGCCACATTGCTCCCTCTATACAGTGACAGGTGCCACACTGCACCCGCTATACGGTGACAGGTGCTAGACTGCACCCTCTATACAGTGACAAGTGCCACACTGCTCCCTCTATACAGTGACAGGTGCCACACTGCTCCCTCTATACAGTGACAGGTGCCACACTGCTCCCTCTATACAGTGACAGGTGCCACACTGCACCCTCTATACAGTGACAGGTGCCACACTGCACCCGCTATACAGTGACAGAGTTTGGCTGGCTCCCTCTATAGTAGGATAGATTTTGCCAGATCCCCCTATAGCAGGGTTGTCAAACATGCGGCCCCCCAGATGTTGCTGAACTACAACTCCCATGATTCTTTCAATGAAACAGATAGCCAGGGAATCATGGGAGTTGTAGTTCAGCAACATCTGGGAGGGCCGCATGTTTGACAACCCTGCCCTATAGTGTAAAAGATTTGGCTGGCTTCCTCTATAGTGTGATGGGTTTGGCTGGTTCCCTGTATTGTGTGACAGAGTTTGGCTGGTTCCCTCTATACTGTGATAAATAAAGCTGTAGTGGTAAGATATAATAAATGAAGGTGTAAACACTGTTTCTATATTAGCCACCGGCTGGGAATCCATGAATCTCTCCTTGTAAACACCTCTCTGTTTTTCCCTCATGGGTTTCACAAACTTGTCCCAGCACTGGAAAAACAAAACAGAGAGATCATATTCTCAGCTCGCTGCCAAAACTTCCAAACCTACACACACACACATATTAGAAGCCACTTCTCTGTCCTTCACATGTGTGATTGACAGGAAGTGTCAGGGTATAATACGTGTGAGTGACAGGAAGTGTCAGGGTAGAATACGTGTGATTGACAGGAAGTGTCAGGGTAGAATACGTGTGAGTGACAGGAAGTGTCAGGGTAGAATACGTGTGAGTGACAGGATGTGTCAGGGTAGAATACGAGTGATTGACAGGAAGTGTCAGGGTAGAATACGTGTGATTGACAGGAAGTGTCAGGGTAGAATACGTGTGAGTGACAGGAAGTGTCAGGGTATAATACGTGTGAGTGACAGGATGTGTCAGGGTAGAATACGTGTGATTGACAGGAAGTGTCAGGGTAGAATACGTGTGAGTGACAGGAAGTGTCAGGGTAGAATACGAGTGACAGGAAGTGTCAGGGTATAATACGTGTGATTGACAGGATGTGTCAGGGTAGAATACGTGTGATTGACAGGATGTGTCAGGGTAGAATACGTGTGATTGACAGGAAGTGTCAGGGTAGAATACGTGTGAGTGACAGGAAGTGTCAGGGTAGAATACGAGTGACAGGAAGTGTCAGGGTATAATACGTGTGAGTGACAGGATGTGTCAGGGTATAATACGAGTGACAGGAAGTGTCAGGGTATAATACGTGTGAGTGACAGGATGTGTCAGGGTATAATACGTGTGATTGACAGGATGGGTCAAGGTATAATACGTGTGAGTGACAGGAAGTGTCAGGGTAGAATACGTGTGAGTGACAGGATGTGTCAGGGTAGAATACGAGTGACAGGAAGTGTCAGGGTATAATACGTGTGAGTGACAGGATGTGTCAGGGTATAATACGAGTGACAGGAAGTGTCAGGGTATAATACGTGTGAGTGACAGGATGTGTCAGGGTATAATACGTGTGATTGACAGGATGGGTCAAGGTATAATACGTGTGAGTGACAGGAAGTGTCAGGGTAGAATACGTGTGAGTGACAGGATGTGTCAGGGTAGAATACGAGTGACAGGAAGTGTCAGGGTATAATACGTGTGAGTGACAGGATGTGTCAGGGTATAATACGAGTGACAGGAAGTGTCAGGGTATAATACGTGTGAGTGACAGGATGTGTCAGGGTATAATACGTGTGATTGACAGGATGGGTCAAGGTATAATACGTGTGAGTGACAGGAAGTGTCAGGGTAGAATACGTGTGAGTGACAGGAAGTGTCAGGGTAGAATACGTGTGAGTGACAGGAAGTGTCAGGGTATAATACGTGTGAGTGACAGGAAGTGTCAGGGTAGAATACGTGTGAGTGACAGGAAGTGTCAGGGTATAATACGTGTGAGTGACAGAGAAGGGCAGTGTATATAAGAATGTAACAATAAAGCTGAACAGAGATGCAAATGACGGCTATAGCGATAGCATCCGCACATGTTGATACATGGCTGGGAAACACATAAGGACTGTTAAACTTACCAGATTTTAGTAAGTAAGAAAGAAACATCTTAGTTTGCAAATTTATGTTGTGAAAATAGAGACACAAACAGAAATGACACAATATAAGCAGTAACCAACAACACCGCCTCAGGAGAGATACAAAAGAAATAAATTAAAAGTTAAGATGGAGGCTCACACTACCCAATATAGAGAGAGGAAATAATAGACTACCCATTTGTCATTTTGTTTTGAAAGAAAATAAAATGCATGGTTTTACTTGTAGTATTTTTTATTTAGCAGTTTTTGAGAAATGGCAGCCAGCGTCAGTATGGTGTGCACACGTTACAAAACACACGGCTATAGACTAATATAGATAACACAAAGGCTCACATTAACCCTCTTAACAAGGTGATAACCCTGAAATACCAGAGTGGAATTTGTTTTGTGTGAAAATGGAAAAGGCTGAAGTAGGCATGTGGAGGGTTACAGCTGCGGCGATAAATCCAGCCTGTGTTTGCAGTTATGGTGGCGCACGTGTTGATAACAGTCTGATAACAGAAACTGCTTACATCATGGAAAATGATCTGCCCGCCAGGAGACCGATGCGTTCTCCTTATACAGGGTCACCACAGCATGGCTACCAACTCACAGTATGCTCGGACAGCCGTACACAGCCAGTCTCTGTATACCCCCAGGTTTGAAGGCCTGACACAACAGATTGAAGAGAATTGTTCGCAGAATTCACTGAACTGAAAGTGCTAAAACCTTGAATGATTTGATAGCCCAGTGCTGACGTAAGGGGGGGGGGAGAAACAGTCGTGATTGTGGCAATAAGGCTTAGGAGGGGCTGCTGCACTGCTTCCTCCTTCTTTCTCCTCTGCTGCACGCTCCCCACGTTACAGGATCTTAAAATAAACAGTCTGAGTAATCTGTAGCCACCCGCAGGCTGCAGAATAATGAGGAATATTCTGAGTACAGTGTGGAGCTGCAAGGCGTACTGTGCCGGCACCAGGACTTGGCTGAACACTGCAGCACCCCGATATTAATCTCTGGATCTGATCCCATGTAGAGTCCCTACCAGCCATTGAATGAAATGACAATGTCTGCAGCATTTACCAGCTGCTCCGAATCCTAAATAAGAATCCAATTCTCTTCACTAAAAGGCTCAGAAACGGAATGATGGCACAGGTTTTAGACTGCAAGCTCATTTGGACAGGGCCATCTTAACCAACTGCTCCCGTATATCAAACGTGCTTTATTGGAATGAATCGTTTGTCTTGCCTATTGTACAGTGCTGCAGAATATGTCGGTGTTATATAAATAATCATAATTTATTCTGCAATGATTAATAAGCACAAAAATTAGAGGTTTCTCTCCCCAATACACCCAGCCCTTTGTACAGCTCAGTGTGCAATCAATTGGCTTGTATCAAAATTGCGATATATAAATCATCCATTAACTCTCCTAATGCCAGGAAACTGCACTCAAAAACTGAAGTGCAAATACAGCAGCCAGTGCAGACCATGCCAGGCATACAGCAGAGGTGCCGTTTAAGGAGTCCTGATTAATGGGATACACCCCGTGACAAGGCCTCCTGTGAGTAACCTCAGCACGCTGTCATGGCTTGAAGCAGATTTCTCATTCCATGCAAGCTCTCACCTAGAGGCTTGTGGAGTGTCTGAATGTCAGCAGAAAAGGCAGATAAGGTCTACAAGGAGTACGACCTGATTTGCTGATGTATTCATGTTCTTTTTCCGGAGAAAGTGCTGAGTAACGAACACCAGCCAAAGTTCTGTCTTCCTCCCATAACCTACCTCTAAACCCCAGCCTACACTGAAAGTGGCAGCGCATAGGGGCAGAGGGTAGGATGGCAACCAGTAGGTGGTGGCAGTCTATGGCATTAAAACCTTGTCACTCAAGCTCTTCGTGTTGCTCCATGGTGTTTATGGGTATAACATTCCAGGCTAGGCAGAGAAAGGTCAAAGTGAAGTACCATGCCCGTCCCCTTCCGTAGCCTGGAATTCAGAAAAGGATTAAGATCCCACCAGGACCAAGGCAAGCTTACATTTCACATAGTGATGGTAAAGCCAAGCAAATTCATGGTTTGTGGGGCCCATGTCTGACCACTGGGCCCTTGGCGGCCCTAGACTATAATTAATCCTGCTCTGCTAGAATTCCACTACAATCTTTACTGGGCCATGGTACATCATGGTCTAGAATGACCTGCCTCTCTTCACCACCACAGACTCTTTCCTGCAGTCAGCCTGCTGAAACACCCAGACATTTAAAACAGAAAGCAGTGAGTCCAACAGAACAAAATAACAACAAAGGGTCTCTGCTTACCTTCTGTGGGCTTAGGGTCTCCTGGTGTGGGAGCCGTCCGTGACAACTAAACAAAGAAAGAGAGGAAAACATCAGAATGTCACTAGGACCCCCACGTATCAGAACATTGCTAGGACAAATTGCAAGGCCCCTCCACATGTCAGAGCACACATTGCGAGGACCCCCGTGTATCAGAACATTCATCGCAAGGGCCCCCCATGTATCAGAACATACATAGCAAGGGCCCCCCATGTATCAGAACATACATAGCAAGGACCCCCATGTATCAGAACATACATAGCAAGAACGCCCATGTATCAGAACATACATTGCAAGGACCCCCACATATCAGAACATGCTTCACTAGGACCACCATGTATCAGAACATTCATAGCAAGGACGCCCATGTATCAGAACATGCATCGCTAGTACCCTATGCATCAGAACATGCTTCGCTAGGACCCCATGTATCAGAATATACTTTGCGAGGACCCCCATGTATCAGAACATACATCGCTCGGACCGCAATGTATCAGAAAATGCTTCGCTAGGACCCCCGTCACTGTCCAACCATTACAACACCTTCTATTTAGGCCCTAAATCAATCTGTTGCAACTTCTGTTTTGTGTATTAAGTCAAACTGCATCTTATTTAGCTGAACCAGTTTCACATAATGCAATGCTCACCCCAAGTAGACGTCAAAAAGCAGCAATAAGTAAGGCAATACACCCCATATCTATTTTCCCTACACCAGTACAATATTACAAAACAACAGATTTGTTCATTATGAAAAAAGAAACTAAAAAAAAAACAAACTATCATTTAAAGCCAGACAAGGAGTTTCACTGTATGTAAAACCACTCTAAGAATAAACCCAAAACACAGGATTTCTGTATAGCTCCATTACACCCCACCCGTAATGAGAGATGGGGTACCTCGTATAGAACACAGCCAGTGGGGGCTGATTAATAACTCCCCAATACTATTACAATGCTTTATTTTTTGGCCTGCAGGGAAATGATCACATGAATATTGATAGCAACAGACGTATTTTATTGGGGAGGTCATATAACGAGATAGAGGTAAGGGGTGTGTTTGCGGGGGTCTACATAAAGAACTCGGGGCAATAGTGATGCATATCTGGAGATGAGACAAAGCCAGCATAGCTTGTTGGCATGTCTCTGCTGCAGTCACCGCGCTGTATTTTCCTGTGTTATTTGTATCCTGTTTCTCTGCTGGTTTCACAATTGACCTAATGCTCCCTGAAGGTGCCAGTCTGACTGTCCGTCCGTCCTCTATTCAACTGTGCCAAAGGGAAACTCAAAACAAACTGAGCAGGCACGGATATACTTATCTACTGAAAGCAAAGTTTAATAAATATCTACAGCCAACAGTCTTCACAATATCAGGACAAGCTCGGACAGTGCTGGGTATATATCGAATGTAATGACCATGCATTATCAGGACAGGCTAATCTAGTGCTGGGTGTATATCTAATGTAATGACCGCATGGTATCAGGACAGGCTCAGACAGCACTGGTTTATATCTAATGTAATGACCGCATGGTATCAGGACAGGCTCAGACAGCGCTGGGTTTATATCTAATGTAATGACTGCACGTTATCAGGACAGGCTCAGACAGCGCTGGGTTTATATCTAATGTAATGACAGCAAGTTATCAGGACAGGCTCGGACAGCGCTGGGTTTATATCTAATGTAATGACAGCAAGTTATCAGGACAGGCTCAGACAGCACTGGGTTTATATCTAATGTAATGACTGCACGTTATCAGGACAGGCTCAGACAGCGCTGGGTTTATATCTAATGTAATGACAGCAAGTTATCAGGACAGGCTCAGACAGCGCTGGGTTTATATCTAATGTAATGACTGCACGTTATCAGGACAGGCTCAGACAGCGCTGGGTTTATATCTAATGTAATGATTGCACGTTATCAGGACAGGCTCAGACAGCGCTGGGTTTATATCTAATGTAATGACTGCACGTTATCAGGACAGGCTCAGACAGCGCTGGGTTTAGATCTAATGTAATGACAGCACGTTATCAGGACAGGCTCAGACAGCGCTGGGTTTAGATCTAATGTAATGACTGCACGTTATCAGGATAGGCTCAGACAGCGCTGGGTTTATATCTAATGTAATGACAGCACGTTATCAGGACAGGCTCAGACAGCGCTGGGTTTATATCTAATGTAATGACAGCACGTTATCAGGACAGGCTCAGACAGCGCTGGGTTTATATCTAATGTAATGACAGCACGTTATCAGGACAGGCTCAGACAGCGCTGGGTTTATATCTAATGTAATGACTGCACATTATCAGGACAGGCTCAGACAGCACTGGGTTTATATCTAATGTAATGACCGCACGTTATCAGGACAGGCTCAGACAGCGCTGGGTTTATATCTAATGTAATGACAGCACGTTATCAGGACAGGCTCAGACAGCGCTGGGTTTAGATCTAATGTAATGACAGCACATTATCAGGACAGGCTCAGACAGCACTGGGTTTATATCTAATGTAATGACCGCACGTTATCAGGACAGGCTCAGACAGCACTGGGTTTATACCTAATGTAATGACAGCACGTTATCAGGACAGGCTCAGACAGCGCTGGGTTTATATCTAATGTAATGACTGCACGCTATCAGGACAGGCTCAGACAGCGCTGGGTTTATATCTAATGTAGGGGATCTGACTGCACACACAGCGCTGTTGAGGACATTACAGAATACTTGGATACATCCACACAGGATCTTACAACATAATATTGGAGTAAAAAAGGAAACAAGATTGCAAATACATGAGTAATAAATCTTGAACAACTTCCTGCAGGGCAATACAAGCAATATTTCCCATTTAAAACCCCTATTGGGAATACTTATGGCTATTAAAATCTGCCTTCCCGGCTCCTGTTCGGCGTCAGTGATGTAACCGCCTCGCGAGGAGCTATGCCTGAGCTAAATGATCCATGTCTCACGTTTAGGGCGACGCTCCCTCACCCCTTCCTTCCTCTTTACTTTCATCCATTTATCAGGAATGTGTTGTTTTTATATCCCCGTTGTACAGCACCACAGGATAGGTTTGTGCCATAAAATGATATTGCCATGGAAGGTGTTCCCAACATGTTCCCTTCTCCACAGTTGTCAAACCTACTGAATCCCAGCTATACTTTAGACACATTACTGGGAGTATTATTACTGTGGAGCTCTGTTATACACACAGACACATTACTGGGAGTATTATTGCTGTGGAGCTCTGTTATACACTCAGTCACATTATTGCTGTGGAGCTCTGTTATACAGTCAGACACATTACTGGGAGTATTATTGCTGTGGAGCTCTGTTATACACCCAGACACATTACTGGGAGTATTATTGCTGGGGAGCTCTGTTATACACTCAGACACATTACTGGGAGTATTATTGCTGGGGAGCTCTGTTATACACTCAGACACATTACTGGGAGTATTATTGCTGTGGAGCTCTGTTATATACTCAGACACATTACTGGGAGTATTATTGCTGCGGAGCTCTGTTATACACTCAGACACATTACTGGGAGTATTATTGCTGCGGAGCTCTGTTATACACTCAGACACATTACTGGGAGTATTATTACTGTGGAGCTCTGTTATACACTCAGAAGGTATGCTTTCCTCCTCGAGCTGTAATATCTGGGTGCCGCCATTTTGTTCTCCTCTGTGCATGATGCCAGCAGTCTGCCTTCCGTGGATTCTTCTCACTGATGGATTACGGGTAAAATTACCTTGGTAGCTGAAATGGAACTGTGATTAGGCTCGGCCCATTGTATATATAACTAATAAACTAAGGTGAATTTAGAAAATAAAATCAAGGAGAAACGGAGGGACAAACAGGGATTCGTTTAGTACAGCCGTTTGTCACCCAAAAGGAACCTTATCGAATCTATCAATATCTCTTTATTTTATGCCTGAGCGCTCATTTACATAAAATATGTAAACGTATCGATATTCCTTATTTGTAATAAACAAAGTAACAAAACGTGACAATGGGGGGAGCGTAAATCAAGATTCTGTGGCATTTACCCACAAGCCATCAGTGACATAAATCCGATAAAAGGCAAACAGCAGAGGAGAACAAAATAGCCGCGCACAGATGTTGAGATCATAAATATACAGTGCCAATGGGAGCAGTATAATCATTAGGAAAGGGGAAAAAAATAAAAAATGGCTGCTTTAAAGATAAAACCTGTATAGTGACAGAGCTGCTTTAATAGTGTTTTGTTGTGTTCCCTTTAAGAGATCCAGAGCTGAAACAGTGAAGAACTGGGGTTTGACCTAAAACAGAGCCTGGCCCCTCTACTGCCCCCAAGATCAACCAAAAGTAATTTGGAAACCAATGGCAGGCACTGGTCTTCACTGCTCAATGGTCTGACACTAAAACGAGGCTGACTACACCATAACCACTACAAAAGGCTGTACAGCAAACTGTGAAGTGCTTATGGTGGTTGGAATGTCCCTTTAAGATCCCATCAGCAAAGCCAACATAATATATATTTTTTAAAAAGAACATCAGAGGAACAGAGGAGTGGGAGGCACAGAGGCCAACGGCCGACCTTGTTCCTTTTTTAAATATTTGATAAACCCCTTCAATAATCAGGAAGGGAAACACTGCCAGTCTTTGTTAAAGATTTGTGGAACAAACCAGCAAATAACAGGCTGTGCTCGCTAGCTGCTATTTAACTAACATTACCCAAGTTCAAATCGATTCCTGAATTTCTGCTCATACCTTAAACTCCAAAGCAGCAGAAAAACGGCGGAGCGAAATGACACGGGCAACCAGAAGTGGAAATAAACGATTTTACTGGAAAATGTGACAATTTCAGAAAATCTTATTTTGTAGCAAAGGAATAAGATATCGCTGTGAGCGAACCCCCAATTATATCGCATGCTATCCATGTGCTGATGGGGATTTTTAGTTTAAAATAAACACAATAAATTGTAAGATAAAATAGCTCTGCGACGTGTGTGTGGGGTGTTGCATGCGCTAATTAAAAGCACACAACAGCTGGTTACTTTGCCAAGTGATGGGCTGTGTATAGACATATGGTTTGCTTTATTACTTATCTAATAACGCCTGTTTATTCCTTCTCCAATAGATTTACCTTGCAGTCATTGCAGAGTTAACCCTTTCCATGCAATGGCGTGCTAAAGACATACTCCCCCAGCCCCCCAGCTTGGTTCTTTTGCTTATATTAAGTAAACGGTTTAGTAAATAAGCCCATCAGTGAATATATACTGCAGATCAGAAACACGTCACATTATAATTAATTTCATAGATGTGTTCTGCAATACGTACACAGTGGCCGGACAGGTACATCGCCGCACAGCAGGGGACGCCAATTCCACACAAGGCCATTAGCAGGAATGTAAACATGGCTGCAGAGTGCAGGAGGCCAAACGCTGGCCCCGGGTGGTTACACAGACCTGTATCACAGTTGGCTCTGCTAGGGCCAAAGTCTAAGATCCAATAGCAGCAGGAAAACAAGAGGACCGGCCAGGCCGAGAGCGAACGCTCGGGACATTGCGTAACTGAGTCAAACATTACTGTATAGACATGTATGTGTAAGCAACATTGCAACAGCTCCTCGCTTTCAGCCCATTCCAAGCCAAGGGATAAATAACGAATTGGGTTACACAACTGCCAGGATCCCAAAGAGTTAACTGTACATACAGCAAGTGTGCCGAATTGGCAGAATTTTTTGTATGTGGGAGGAATAAAATGGCCGTCTCCCAGAACAGAGGCCGACTCCCAAACATGACTCCATACTGCTAGAAGGCCCATACAGACGTGTTTTTAGCACGCTGTCTCACAAGGCAGACTGCTGCGGTTACCATGACAACAAGGCATGTTCGGCTTAATTGCTCAATACATCGCTTATACAGCGGTTTATTGTAAATTAAATATTTCCTTACAGGCTCATGTTTGGCTTGGTGTACATCATAGGTCATTTCTGCAGTGCTATATCATTGCTTTAGTTTATTTGGGAACTGTGTACCTACTAAAAACAATATACAAGTCAACATCGAATATGGTCAAATGTCAGTGTTTTTGCAAATTAGGGAACGTTTTTTAAATCACACAATATTTCCTAGAAAGTGTTAAACAGAATACATATAAAGACCATGCCAATTGTACCAGCCAGAGCTGTGCCCACACAGGGAGTTACATGCGCCAACCTTAAAATAAATCCCTAAAATAGAAATGTGCTGGCCGCAGGACGCGGTCACCTTTCCGAGCCCTTGGATGCACATGATCAATTAAATGAACCAGAGAACTTTTTATCATTTTATGACAGCTGGCCAGGGACATGGCAGATCGATTGCGCTTAGTATTATGGAAGCTGGCGTGGTCTATAATGTATCTGCAAAGTACAGGGAAAAGGCAAGGATCTGCAAAATATACACAAAAATGATCTCATTTGGAAAGGTGTGATGCACAGGGCAAAAGTGGCACTCACCATTCTTATAACTATTTGTTTTGAAATTCAGCATTTTTTTTTTTGCATGGAAAGTCGCCACCGTGACCTCAAACTAGGCAGATTTTGGGAGAACACGGCTAATAATTTGTTTAGAAAATAAAAAGAAATAATCTTAAGGCTGGTAAAGCATCATGGGAGTTGCCCCTGAAAGATTTGATTATTAGATTATTTTCCATTATGATTTATTCCTGAGGAAATGGCGCTCTGAAGCAAAGATTTGCAGCCATTTTGTCAATACCTTCACCCGGAATCCTAATTACTGTCCTAAATAAAAATAAAGTCTATAAGTTTTTTTATATATACGCAGATATGGCATCCAATCCCAAAACTTGTTACAAGCAATTGTGACCAATCAAGAAATTGCCAAAAAAACGAGAAAATAATGAGATAGGCCAATTGCATAATCTCCTTCTCTTTCGCTCCCGGTGTCTGAATCTGGTTTTCATAATATGTATCAGGAAATCGCAGGGACAAAACCTGGCACAGGGCGGAGCTTAAAGCAAGGTTCAGTTCAGTTACCAATCACATTTACCCACAATCCATCAGTGAAATCAGTCTCGGCCAATAAAAAGAGCAGACATCACGGCAGAGAACAAAATGGCTGCCCCCAGACATTGAGATCACAAGGAAGAAAAAATAATAAATATAAATAAGGGCAAGTGGCAATGGAGTAATATAATCGGTGAGATACCAGGGGAACAAAGAAAGCAAGAAAAAATATAAATACATTAAAAATAACGGCTTTAAAAAGGATGAAACGCTGAGTGTAATGAACTATAGTGTATTATTATCCTGCTGGTATTTCCCTAGAATACCTGCTACCCCACCAACCAACTTTACGATTTGTGGAATTTATTTTATATCCGTGTGAATTATTCCCAGCAGGAGACGGGACGAGGGGAGGCAAACAAAGACAATGTGCAGACAGTATGTTTAACCCCTGCACTGCCAGAGCTGTTAGAAGTGACTATACAAAATTATTCTCCAAAAACATTTTTCCTTCCACTTTTTGACATACAGTGTAATCAGATGTAAAACACGATCAGATTAAATAAATAAAAACAAATTAGCCATTTTGCTTCCAAGAAAAATAAGAAGATGTTTTCGGGAGGGTTTGGAGACGGGAATGTTACTAATATTAATCACAAAGAGAGAGAAATAGATGCTAAACTTGTATCTAGAAATAATGCCACAGGATTGTGGTTACGCAATGAAATCACTTGTGTTAAAAAACACACACAAAGAATCTCTGGACAAATGACAACTGGTGGAGCCCCCCCTCCTTAAACAGATGATGCATCATTTTTATAATGACTTCAGTTGTGTTATTGGGGAGCGTGTGACATGTATAGGATGGAGGGCCCATATTGACGGAGCGTGAAACCCACTCCTGGATTTACTGGTCGCCACCTGTGCTGGAAATCGTCAGCTTGGGATTCCGCACCTGTGTCCACACAGACCTCCAATACGGAACTTAAAGACCCCAGAGAAACGATTTGCCCGTCTTGTTCTTTCGTTCTGTGCCAACCATTCTCAGCGGGGACATTCAGCCCCTTTGGCAGGCTCAGAGAATGACAAGTCATGTCTGTGGCACTACCCAGCTATGCGCGGTGACCTTTTCCCTGGCTTAGTTTGGCTGACAAAGCTTTACTGGAACGTCAGTTTAATTTCTGATGCCAGGTAAGTGAGAAAGAAGGCATTTATAGGGTTAAGGAGTTGAGAACTTTCACACCAAGCCGAGAACTGACCGGTCAGGAAAACTAATTGGCCACTTGACCCTTCAGTGGATGAATCTTTGAGCTCTGTGGGCTGAAACACTTAGTAACAATGCAAACATTATCCACGGCAGGCATCGAGCTCACACAACACAGCCGCCCAGCTCACAGAATTACACGTGAATCTGATTATCAAACAGGGAGGAATTTGCTACAGAGAAAGTACCTCTTCTTGGCTGATATGCAAAGTGTTGGCAGGAAAATAAATAAAAAGTACATTCACAGCATTAAACACACCAGCAGAGCTAATGAGATAGGGAAAGCAAGCTGCATTAACTTCTAAAACGTGTAGTCAGTGTTTTAATCAGTTCTGGGCGTACCGTCCAGTTTTCGCCTGGCTCCACGCATAACATCAGCACACCCACCAGGAATGAGGGGCTTCACCGGAATACTATACATTTTAATTCCGAGGGACATTTACATGAAACGTGTCAGCGCAAATCATAGATAGTACTTTCTATGCGTCCCACAACATGCACTTCATATAAAATACACGGAGAGGGGGGGCACCCCAATACACGTCTGGTTATTGGAAGGCCAGCAGCAAAACCCGTCCTCCTTGCCTGCTCTGTCTTTAATTGGCGGATTTAATGCTGGCAGGAATATTGAATCACTATCACACGTATGACATAATTATGGTATTGTAAGTACAGAACTGAGGCCACAGATTGTGGTCCGCACTGACGTAAGAGACACTGGAGTGACGATATGGATCATACCATCTCTTTAACACCGTATCTGTCTCTGGTCCCGACGGTCGCGAATCTCAAGCAGTTAAACATTTTTCCTGCTAGCTTTACTTATATTCTTTATATGCCGTTCAGCAGCTGCCGATTTACTGTGCTCACCGTGTCTCATTGTTCTGTACCCTGATCTGAACTGCAGCATTAACCCCTTCAGCCATTTAATACCATGAAAACACATATAACACGCGTGACATGCAGAAAACACTCCTCAGACAGAACGGAAAATTAACTGCAGCAATTCTCAAACATTTTATTAAACTTTTCAAAGAGTTCAGCTTGTTCACACACACCGGCACTTCCACTCCAGATTTTCTACTGGAAAAAGTAGTGATTTACAAAACCAGGCCTGGATCCCCGCACCTGGGTCATGCAACTACACACACAATCCTTAGCCTTCAGGGGATGATGGGAACTGCAGTTACAGTGACAAGATCAATCTCGGCGTGGTAAAATAGAACTGGCAGATATTAATTTTCACTTTTATTATTCTTAATCCAAACACGCGTCAGAGTGGAAAAATACACGGGAATACAACCTGGATGCATGCACACTATGGTGGGTGGTAAACTTAGACACTTCTCTGAGGTCAAAGGATAAGAAAACGCACGTCTAAACACAACAAATTCTTCTTTCACCACTGGCAGTAAAAGGGTTAACCCTGCTGCGAAGGTTCATCTCTGTCAGACATGTGACTTTCGGCAGTCCTTTTACAGGAAAAATAACAGGTTATAGAGAGAGAGAGAGAGAGAGAGAGAGAGAGAGAGAGAGAAACACATGACCTTGTGAAGGTCACGCCAGACATGTTCAATATGCTTTCAGATGCCCTCCCCCTCTGCATTAAATATTTCCACCTTACAAAATAGCTCCCTCTTCCTTTTATTGGCCTGCCTTCTCCTCCCTCAGCCATACCCCTTTACTGATACCAAACACAAGCAGGAGACAAGGCCAGGCAGACACAGGGACACACAGACAGACATACATACATAGGGACACAGAGACCAACACAGGGACACAGAGACACAGACAGGGACCGACACACAGAGACCGACACAGACACACACACAGACAGACACAGAGACTGACAGAGACACACACACACAGAGACTGACACAGGGACACACAGAGACCAACACAGGGACACACAGAGACAGACATAGGGACACACAGAGACACTTAATGACAGGCATTCAAAGTGGATTTGACATTTTAGGCCACAATAGCAAATTGCAAGAGCGCATTGACATGGAAAATGTGTATAATTTGAGAATTTTGGCTTAAAATCTTAAATTCCCTTATTTTGATTTCCTTCGCAATTCATACTTTTAGGTGACACTCACAGACAGAGACAGATAGAAATACAGAGAGAGAAAGACAAAGACAGCCACAGATACAGAGAGACACACACAAATACAGCCAGAGAGACATGTAGAGAAACACACACAAAAGACAGTCACAGAGTGAGAGACACAAAGACAAATAAAGAGAGAGAGCCACACACATACACAAAGAGCAGAAGAGACAGGCAGAATTAGTGACATACAGACACAAAAAAAAAGAGAGAGGCATAGTGTCCCGATAATAAATTACTGATCCAGACTGGCCTTTAGTTGGCCCGTTTATGCTGTTATTATAAAGAGTATTGTAATCTGCTGGGACTGGTTGTGTTTTATAATAAAAACGCCAAAAAGGAAAGGAGATTATAAAAGCACAGTAACAATGTGGACAGCACTGTGTCAATGAGTATTCATAAAGCTCACAATTAACCCCTTTATAGCAGCAAACAGAAGCAGAATTCTATTCCCGGAAGATTCGATTTCTTAACATTTTATACCGGACTAGTAAGTTGTTATTCCGAATGGTAAAACTGTGCGATTTTTCCTGGATATGTAAAATAGGTTTATTTTTTTTTTATACTTTTTTTCTTTTTTTTTCTTTCTGCAAGACTTTATTTTGTAACCAGGTACGGAAAAGAAAGAGTTAAGTATATTTTTTCTGTTTTGCCGGCCTCCCACATTTTTTCTTCCTTTCTTCCGTAATTAGTGGCAGTTTTTGTCACAGTAAATGGCTACAATGACAATTAAGTTCACTTGGGAAAAATCGGACTGAGTGTACGAGGGCACTTGAGTAAAGGAGTCTGGCCAGGCTCAGACTGCAGCAGGACTGGGGCCGGCAGAGCTCGCTCGGCCTACAGCAAGCCTCGGCCATTGAAAAGGATGGCGTCCGTGTAACGGAAGGCCTGCAAAAATCTAAAAAAAATGGAAATGTGCAGAGGAGGGGGAAAAAAAAAAAAGAAGAAAGAAGATTGAGCCAGTCACATGAAAAAGATTGAAAGGCCTTTAGTCAGTCTCAAGGCTGGTTTACATTTGGGAAAAAAGTGTACGTGCGAGCCAGGACGATTTTTGAAAAAGCCCTGCCTACTGATCTGCGTCATGAAAAGGGGAGCCAGGGAAAAAGAAGGAAAAAAAGGGACTAAGTAACCCTCAGAAGGAGAGTGACCAATCTGCAGTCTGGTCACACACACCTCTCCTCATTCACTTGTTCTAGCTCTGTATCTATGGAAGTTACACCCAGCGTGGCCAATGCCGGCTCCTCGAAATGCTGGAATCAGAGCCGGTTTCAATGATTAATCTACTGACTGATCTCCAGAAACAAGTAAAAAATGACAACACGCTTACCGAGATACCTGGATAGAACATGTGCTGCACCAATTTTATTCATCGTAGCACCGGAGGGATAAGACTGATTATTTTCAGCGAAATTAGATTTCTTTTGAATAAAAGAAACAACCTGCACCCTTTCCAATTATGATATATACGGCACCTAATATTATATATACACAGCACCCAGTATTATATAATATATACAGCACTTAATATTATATATGGCACCTAACATTATATATGATATATACAGCACCCAATATTATATATACACACAGCACCCAATATTATATATGAGATATATACCGCACCCAATATTATATATACACACACACACAGCACCCAATATTATATATATATACACACACAGCACCCAATATTATATACGATATATACAGCACCCAATATTATATATGATATATACCGCACCTAATAATATAAATACATACACACATATACATACATACACATACAGCACCATATATATATATATATGTATATATATATACATACATACACATACATACATACATACATACATACATACACACATACATACACACACACACACACACGGCACCTAATAATATATATATGATATATACTGTGTCTGTCCCTGCTGGCGGCGTGCGTGAGTTTTCGGATGTACAGTACCCCAGAAATGGTTAACTCGGTGTCAGTTCCACCAACCAGTGTTAAAATGGGAGGATCTGTCAGAGTAGACGGCTAGCGTGTTCCAAACTGCTTCACTAAGTTTTCTGGCATTAATATATTTCTCTGTCCTTCCCGCCTTACGCCGGTCGAAGGTGGAACATCAGGTCTTCAGTTGCAAAACAGAGCAGAATATGAAACACATTTTACGTTCCCCACCTTTGATATTATCCAGCTAAAGTTTTGAAAAGGATCAGCAGACGGAGTTTAGGGTGTTAGCTTGTCTCTGTTAATTTTTTCATATCCTACAATATTGCATTGTCTTAAGCTGGCCAGCCGGCAGGCAATCGGAGCTTTAAGGGATTTTGGTGCCGCGTACAGTTCTACTCTAAGATCTAACGCGCCCGTTTCTCTCTGACCGATAGAAAGAAGGGTTTCATCGCCCTGGAGCAATATCCGAAAAGCCATCAGGTCGGGACTGGACTTTGCCAAAGACAGAAAAATGGCCAGAAGTTTGAGACACGTGTTAATGGTTGCCTGTCACTTTGGAGGATTTTGCTGGATAGGAGGGAGAGCTAAATAATGCCGATACAAGGAATACACAGAAACTGTCTTCATTTCAGAGCAGTCGGCTGTGTTGTAGGGTATTCAGAAGCCAACGCAGTTACGTCTCGACTTTCCGTGATTCATCGCCTTCCTGGGAAGTATTCCCTCGCTTTACCGAGTGTCATTGTCTAAGAATATCAGAGGAGAAATAGTCTGATCTAAGCGTCCTTCACATGCGTCCTGCGTGGGACAAGCGATTAAAGGGTTAAATGGAAAGAAAAGTCACAATGTATTCTCTCTCTCTCTGGTGTAGACTCATTAGTTGGTCTAATCCCCTGTAAACCTGCAAACACAGATATTCCCAGCTGTTTGTTCTTTGTCTTTGGAGGAGGCCGGGAGTGACATTTTTTTAGAAATGACCTGGGATAATTAAAGGCAGTTTAAATGACCCCTGTCGTAAGGGATTTCAGGTTCCTCCTACCCCCCCCATCAACAGAACCCGTGCGCTGCAGCCTAGGTTGGTGCTTTGTAAATAAATAAAGAAGCACTTCTAATGTCTATTGATGTCAGAGCGGAGAGCAACAAGGTGTTAAAGAAAATCCCTCCTTCCCAAGGAGAAAAATGACACAATTAGAATAGAAAAAGTGAGTTGAAAAATAAAACTGAATTTCTGAATAATAAATCTATTTTAGGAGCAAAACTAACAGACAGAAAGCAGGTTGGGGTAATTAGGGTAATATTATACCCCCAGTGCAGATCTGGAACCCTATACATGGAGCTGGGGGGCAGACACACTAAATGGACAGGTTGTGAAATCTTAGTAAATATTCCATTCTACACAGCTCCAGAACTCCTAACTTTAACACATCTCATCCTCTGAGGCTAGGTACATCCCTCAGCCTATTCTAACCCACACACACACTTCCAGGGGATCCAGAAACCAGCTAATGCCCCCCAAAACCAGTCCCCATCACACCCCCAATGGGACATCAATCCCAGCCACACTTACTGAGTGAAACCCTCAATGGGACATCAATCCCAGCCACACTCACTGAGTGAAACCCTCAATGGGACATCAATCCCAGCCACACTCACTGAGTGAAACCCTCAATGGGACATCAATCCCAGCCACACTCACTGAGTGAAACCCTCAATGGGACATCAATCCCAGCCACACTACTGAGTGAAACCCTCAATGGGACATCAATCCCAGCCACACTTACTGAGTGAAACCCTCAATGGGACATCAATCCCAGCCACACTCACTGAGTGAAACCCTCAATGGGACATCAATCCCAGCCACACTTACTGAGTGAAACCCTCAATGGGACATCAATCCCAGCCACACTTACTGAGTGAAACCCTCAATGGGACATCAATCCCAGCCACACTTACTGAGTGAAACCCTCAATGGGACATCAATCCCAGCCACACTCACTGAGTGAAACCCTCAATGGGACATCAATACCAGCCACACTTACTGGGTGAAACCCTCAATGGGACATCAATCCCAGCCACACTCACTGAGTGAAACCCTCAATGGGACATCAATCCCAGCCACACTCACTGAGTGAAACCCTCAATGGGACATCAATCCCAGCCACACTTACTGAGTGAAACCCTCAATGGGACATCAATCCCAGCCACACTTACTGAGTGAAACCCTCAATGGGACATCAATCCCAGCCACACTTACTGAGTGAAACCCTCAATGGGACATCAATCCCAGCCACACTCACTGAGTGAAACCCTCAATGGGACATCAATCCCAGCCACACTTACTGAGTGAAACCCTCAATGGGACATCAATCCCAGCCACACTTACTGAGTGAAACCCTCAATGGGACATCAATCCCAGCCACACTCACTGAGTGAAACCCTCAATGGGACATCAATCCCAGCCACACTCACTGAGTGAAACCCTCAATGGGACATCAATCCCAGCCACACTCACTGAGTGAAACCCTCAATGGGACATCAATCCCAGCCACACTCACTGAGTGAAACCCTCAATGGGACATCAATCCCAGCCACACTCACTGGGTGAAACCCTCAATGGGACATCAATCCCAGCCACACTTACTGAGTGAAACCCTCAATGGGACATCAATCCCAGCCACACTCACTGAGTGAAACCCTCAATGGGACATCAATCCCAGCCACACTCACTGAGTGAAACCCTCAATGGGACATCAATCCCAGCCACACTTACTGGGTGAAACCCTCAAGGATATCAACCATAGCACATCTTCACTGAGTGGGACCCCCAATGGGGACATTAACCTCAGCCACACTCACTGAATGGGACCCCCAATGGGGACATCAATCCCAGCCACACTCACTGAGTGGGACCCCCAATGGGGACATTAACCTCAGCCACACTCACTGAATGGGACCCCCAATGGGGACATCAACCCCAGCCACACTCACTGAGTGGGACCCCCAATGGGGACATTAACCTCAGCCACACTCACTGAATGGGACCCCCAATGGGGACATCAATCCCAGCCACACTCACTGAGTGGGACCCCCAATGGGTACATTAACCTCAGCCACACTCACTGAATGGGACCCCCAATGGGTACATTAACCTCAGCCACACTCACTGAGTGGGACCCCCAATGGGGACATTAACCTCAGCCACACTCACTGAGTGGGACATCAACCTCTGTCACCTTCACTGAGTGAGACCCTCCATGGGACACTTACCTGCACAGTACTGAGAGACAGCAGAACGGCCAAGCCCCAGTGGATCCAAGAGAGCAGAAAGTTCATGTTTCCCAGTAACATCCGCAGAGGTCCAAGCAATATCCCTGAAAAGCTAGTGAGAGCCCCCAATCCCCCTGTGACCCCTTTAATGTGTGGATCTCCCCAATGGGCTGGGGTCAGGCAAACTCCATAATAAATAAAGCCCCCAATCCAAGCCCCCAGGGCAGCAGGGAGGCAGCAAACTGTAACAGATCCCCAGACAAAGTTTAGCTGCAGAACTTTTTCAATCCATGTTGGGATCCAGAATCCAGGAGAAGACAGAGCCCTTCACACACCATCCACAGCCACAATCCAGAGCAATGTGAGTGCACTCAGCTAGTGTGAGTGCCTTGTAATGCAGTGAGTGCAGACTGATTGCAGTGCTGAGCTCCTGCTCTGTGTCTCTCTGCTTCACAGCCTCAATTGCTTTTTTCCTTTCAGTGTAGAGCACCCAATCCCCTCTCCTCCCACCGCTTTACCCCGCCCCAACATGAGGGAGGCTGATACATTGTGTCTGTTCATTGCATGCAATATAGCATGCCCCATATACTATATCACTGATATCCCAGGGGGGCATCTGTATCTACAGAGAAATGGAAAATAAAGCTGGAGAATTCATTAAATAAAAAAAAGAAAACAATGAAACTCCCACAGTCATGTAATAGAGAAGCTGGAGGCAAATTCTGGCAAACCGTCCCCCCTGACCCTGTGCCATAAACCGCCGCCTGGCTACCTCTGGCGCACCCACTAATGCAGTCCCCCAAAACCTGCCTGGTCTCTGCGTGTCTGGGTCAGCGTGCTAGGATTTTAAAGAAAATGTTGCTGGAAATCTAATCCTTATTTTGCACGTGAAGTATTTTTCAGCAAAGTTCATTTTCTCTGGGTGAACGTGTTAATGGACACAATTTATTTAGACAGCCTAGACTTAAAGGAACACTCCAAACCCCTAAATCAGCTTGCCCCATACTATTGCCAGATAATGGCGATTGCCAAACATGCGCCAGAGAGTCTCTACAAGAAACATACTATTGCCAGATAATGGCGATGGCTGAGCATTGGTTAAAGATCCCAGTGATTCTCTACGAGCAGCATTCTATTGGCAGATAATGGCGATTGCCGAGAATGCGCCAGTGATTCTCTACGAGCAGCATTCTATTGGCAGATAATGGCGATTGCCGAGAATGCACCAGTGATTCTCTACGAGCAGCATTCCATTGGCAGATAATGGCGATTGCCGAGAATGCGCCAGTGATTCTCTACGAGCAGCATTCTATTGGCAGATAATGGCGATTGCCAAGCATGCGCCAGTGATTCTCTACGAGCAGCATTCTATTTGCAGATAATGGCGATTGCCGAGAATGCGCCAGTGATTCTCTACGAGCAGCATTCTATTTGCATATAATGGCGATTGCCAAGCATGAGCCAGTGATTCTCTACGAGCAGCATTCTATTGGCAGATAATGGTGATCGCCAGTATACCTCTATTAGAAGCACTGGAGTGGTCCTGTAGATCCGCACTAGTTAAGATATCCCAGGGGAGAATTTGCATTGCGTAGACCCAACTGGATTAGCTTTATATTTTCGATAAAGATGGCCTCAAAATCTAATGAAATAATAGACTCCAGCATTACAATTATGTTGTTTTAATTTATTTCAAATGCAGAGGGGTTCCTTTAAGAATTCCAGCTACGTGATTGTGGGGAGGACTGGTTTATCGCTGTATGAGTTTTACAAATAGCCGCAGTTATAAATCATTCTTAGACAATTGATACTGGTTATTCTGTGCAATAATTTTAAAAATTATACCGCAACCCATTAAATCCTTTAAATAAACCTCTGAAATGATGGGCAGTCAGCTCCATACATTGCATTATTTAGTGAATAAACTATAAATGTTAAGATAATATTTTTTCTTTAACTCTTACAGGGCATTCCACAGTAAGAATACTATGAATATAACCCTCCTATTACTTAATATAACCCCTCCTATTACTCCATACAGCCCCTCCTATTACTCCATGTAACTCCTCCTATTACTTAATATAACCCCTCCTATTACTTCATATAGCCCATCCTATTACTTAATATAACCCCTCCTATTACTCCATACAGCCCCTCCTATTACTCCATGTAACTCCTCCTATTACTTAATATAACCCCTCCTATTACTTCATATAGCCCATCCTATTACTTAATATAACCCCTCCTATTACTCCATACAGCCCCTCCTATTACTCCATGTAACTCCTCCTATTACTTAATATAACCCCTCCTATTACTTCATATAGCCCATCCTATTACTTAATATAACCCCTCCTATTACTCCATATAGCCCCTCCTATTACTCCATATAACCCCTCCTATTACTTCATATAGCCCATCCTATTACTTAATATAACCCCTCCTATTACTCCATATAGCCCCTCCTATTACTCCATATAACCCCTCCTATTACTCCATATAGCCCCATCCTATTACTCCATATAGCCCCTCCTATTACTACATATAGCCCCTCCTATTACTTAATATAACCCTTCCTATTACTCCATATAGCCCCTCCTATTACTTAATATAACCCCTCCTATTACTCCATATAGCCCCTCCTATTACTTAATATAACCCCTCCTATTACTCCATACAGCCCCTCCCATATGAGGAAAGGGATTTAGGGGTGATTATTTCTGATGACTTAAAGGTAGGCAGACAATGTAATAGAGCAGCAGGAAATGCTAGCAGAATGCTTGGTTGTATAGGGAGAGGTATTAGCAGTAGAAAGAAGGAAGTGCTCATGCCATTGTACAGAACACTGGTGAGACCTCACTTGGAGTATTGTACACAGTACTGGAGACTGTATCTTCAGAAGGATATTGATACCTTAGAGAGGATTCAGAGAAGGGCTACTAAACTGGTTCATGGATTGCGGGATAAAACTTACCAGGAAAGGTTAAAGGATCTTAACATGTATAGCTTGGAGGAAAGACGAGACAGGGGGGATATGATAGAAACATTTAAATATATAAAGGGAATCAACACAGTAAAGGAGGAGACTATATTTAAAGAAGAAAAACTACCACAACAAGAGGACATAGTCTTAAATTAGAGGGACAAAGGTTTAAAAATAATATCAGGAAGTATTACTTTACTGAGAGGGTAGTGGATGCATGGAATAGCCTTCCAGCTGAAGTGGTAGAGATTAACACAGTAAAGGAGTTTAAGCATGCGTGGGATAGGCATAAGGCTATCCTAACTATAAGATAAGGCCAGGGACTAATGAAAGTTTTTAGAAAATTGGGCAGACTAGATGGGCCGAATGGTTCTTATCTGCCGTCACATTCTATGTTTCTATGTTTCTATGTTTCTCCTATTACTCCATATAACCCCTCCTATTGCTACATATAGCCCCTCCTATTATTCCATATAGCCCCTTCTATTATTCCATATAACCCCTCCTATTACACCATACAGCCCCTCCTATTACTCCATATAGCCCCTTCTATTATTCCATATAAGCCCTCCTATTACTCCATATAGCCCCTCCTATTACTCATATAACCCCTCCTATTACTCCATATAGCCCCTCCTATTACTCCATATAGCCCCTTCTATTATTCCATATAGCCCCTCCTATTACTTAATATAACCCCTCCTATTACTCCATATAGCACCTTCTATTATTCCATATAGCCCCTCCTATTACTTAATATAACCCCTCCTATTACTCCATATAGCCCCTCCTATTACTCCATATAACCTCTCCTATTACTCCATATAGCCCCTTCTATTATTCCATATAGCCCCTCCTATTACTCCATATAGCCCCTTCTATTACTCCATATAGCCCCTTCTATTACTCCATATAACCCCTCCTATTACTCCATATAGCCCCTCATATTATTCCATATAACCCCTCCTATTACTAACTCATCTTATAACTTCCATATTTTATTCCTCATTACATATTTTTAGGCATACTATTATGATATTATGTTCTTTAAAACTAAACAGGAGAATCAATGCCATTTAATTAGCTATTAATGTGAGGTTCTGTCTGTCCCATAAAGCCGTATTTGCTGTTACCCCAAGTTACTGCAAGTCTCCCAGAAACCCGCTCCCGATCCCGCTGAATTTTGCACCTTCTGTATCACTGGACGCTGCTGTGCTGGGGATAATAATCGCTGCTATACAACTACTTTTTGTCATCATTTTATTACATTTTTTAAATATTTTTTTGCCACTGTAGCAATAAGCATCTCTGTACTCCAATTCTCACAATGCTCAGCCAGGTGTGTTGTCTATTGCTGGAGCAGGTGTAATAGGCTGGTATTGATTGGAATCAAGCATTCATTTAGGAGAGATTCCAATTATTAGCTATGTGGGGCCCCCTGCTGGAAGCTCTATAAGTAGTGAAACAAGACTTGTTAAATTGCTGTCTGAGTTTGCATAAATCCCATGAATGCAACATATTGCCCAGTTTTATATCACTGACAAACCAGCATGTCTGCATTTTAATATTTCTTTAATTCCCCTGTAGGGAAAGGAGTCCAGATCTCGGTAATATAAAATCGCTTAAATACAGGGAATATTTGGTTTCTGTATGTAAATCAGACTAGGCAAATTCTTAAATATGAATCACTCTGCTTGTTTGTGTTTTATGTCTGTTGGCTTCCTCTGTGCTAGGAACCTGTAATGTGATATTTCTGCTCTATCCATATATACGGGGAGTGACCGTGATATGTAGAGATATACAGATTAGTGGAACTAAAGGTTTTAAACTCAGTGCATTGAAAATCCATCAGAATGTGGAATTTAAACATTTCTGATAAATTGTTCCAATGTCAGCGGACGCAGGTGACAACTTACACTGTCCCATTAACTAATTACACCATTGGGCTTTTTAAATATATATATATTATTATTTATAAAGCACCAACAAATTCTGCAGCGCTGTACAATATATATTAACTAAACTACATAGCAGCTCTCTAAGACGTAAATTCAATCTGCCTTTAGTCTTCACCATAATACCGTCACACAGGGGATGTTTCGGTTCTTAAATCAAACTTTCATCAGGTGAGTAAGGATTTTTATTCTTCTGATGAAGGTTCCGTTATGGAAACGTCGAGTGTGTGAAGGTTTTACACTGAAATTAAGGCAGATTTAAAGTAAGCTATTTTGTTTTGTTTACAGATGATTGGCCCAATACCGAGCGCCAGGTGCTGAAAGAAAGTGATCTGTTTAATGCTTCATGGATATCAACAATATATACAAACACATTAGGACATTTCAGGGCCACTTTGCTGGGACACTGGTCGGGGCCCCCATCTTTCTACCTATGGGGCATTGCAAGTGAGCCTGGACCTGGTTTCATAAGAGGGGCTGTTTCTCTATAATTACTGGTGCTAAGTCTAACTCTGGGGGGGGGGGGGACAACTGTGGGTCTCTGCACTAAAATGGTAATTCTGCAGAATT